ATCACAACAAAATCAGATAACCCGATTTACTAGTGTGACTGATTTACGACAATTTTTCGGAATATTTTTAAAAATAAGTAGCTTAACAAAAAAAGTGTATTTATGTAAATCAAGTTCATGAACGAAAACTGTTCTATAATAATTTCAGTGGTAATGTAAACGTGATTTCTTGAAATTGAACCTAAATAAATTACTCTTACATTATTTACTTAATTCAGCAACTAAGAGGTCGCGGCCACCCTCTAAACGGAGCAGCAAAACATGCGCCGGACGAATTTCTTCGTCCGGCTCCATATTGAGCGACGCCGTTTAGGATTTATTGGGTCACTGACCAACTTCCTGTCACTGCATTCTGTTTCCCGTTCCGGGTGGTCCGCCAGTCGAAAAGTTATATGTATATTTGGCGCTGAGGACCATCTACTCTGCGCTGAACAGCCTCCAAATTCGTTTGTCTCCCGGACTTTGGGCGATGTTGCTGGTAGTTCGGGCGCCGACTGCATGGACGTACACGATGAAGTGTTAATTCCTGTCGGCGTATCCGTCGAACTCGCAGCACCGTTATCCTGCAGCGACGCGTTGGATCCTGCGTCCTTTGGAACGGACCTCTCGTGGTCCGATGGACTGGATAAAGTTTCGCGGTAGTTTTGTTGGAGCACGTCAAACGGCTCAAGAGGCTTCAGATCGACCGAAGAGGACAAACAGTGATATATTTCAGAGTCTCCTGCTGCGGCTGGTTGATGACAAGTCGTGGCCACGTTCGGCGTAGACTCGTAGACTCTTTTCAACGTCGGCCATGTTCCAACTCGTGTCAAAAATGTGGTAGGAATGTTGAACTTTGCCGATCTCAGGTCTTCAAATATCTTCTTCATCTTTTCGCCTTCTGTTAACCCCAGGCATTGCGGATTTGTCGTTAGAATCTACGGTAGACATATTTTATCATATGACTTAACAGCGTACAACGATGCAACAATTAATACTCTGAATGCATAGAACACGATGCGTAAGAAGATGCCTCAAGGTAGCTTAGCAAGTGGGTAGTAGTGATCAATTAGTGAAAATAATTTTCGAGTTACAAGAATAATTTATACTAGTCAAATCTATAGAAACGATGTTTTGTTGATTTTGTATCGGCCAGAAAAATATTAGAAACTCTATTAAATCCTTGTATATATATATAAGAACACGTATTTTTTATGTACCAATTTTGTGGTCTGTCTATTTAACTTTTTTCCAATTTTTTTTCACAGAATTGTTTCGAATACATTCCTAAGTGTCACTCGTCACCTGATTTTCAAAATTTTAGAGGTATATCATTTTTAAATGTTTTATCACAACAATATCAGATAACCTGATTTACTGGGGTTGCTAATTTACGACAGTTTTTCCGAATATTTTTTAAACCATACATTTTAGACTATAATTTATAATATGCTAATGTATAGGTAATGTATAAGTTCATCAGTACGTTATAAGATTTTATAACAATATTCATTGCTATTTAATATTCTCAAGGATAAAATAGAATTTAATTTCATAAGAATGTTCTCAAAATCCATCGCAGCAACTATAACATCAGCTGCAGAATATTTCGGTGCCTAGTGCCTTCATTCAGCCTTATTTAATAAAATATACTTTGCAGCACATACTTCGTAATAATATAATATTCATGTAGCTGAATTGTGAAAATCACAAGCTGATTTATTAAGTTCGGTTACAAATTGTAATTTTCTTTTGTGATTACTATACATGTAGAATATTATAAATGTATAACATAAGTATTCAAGTGTTGACCTTAAATTGCCTACTTGAAGCGCCGTCCCAAATTTATGAAAATTAATGAAACTAAAGGTGTTTTTCTATTTGTATCCATCGTGTGTGCTGAAAACATTTTGTGAAATACTTAAAATTAATTTACTGATTTACTCATGTACGAAATTTAATCTCGTATTCTTAGAACTTTGAGGTTTTTTTTGTTTTTAATAATGAGAGACATACCTATACATTATAATATGGTGATATTTCACCGTCATTTTAGTAGCGATAGAATTGTTGGGCCATCTAATGATGTATAGGGTTGTAAAAATGATTTCAAAACCAATACATTTTACACTTCGTTAAAAATTGAAGAAAAATACTAGTTAGCCGTTGTACGAGGTAATTCGAGTTTCGACATTACTAAGAATAAAGGTCTGAGGTTTCAATTCAACGTATACAAGACAATGAAGGTTTTTCGTAATGGGATATCTAACATACTATACCTATTATAATATGTCTATAATACAACTATAATTATGATTGCGAATATCATATTTTATATTTATGAATTGTTAGAATTTCTTAAACTTAAATTAATATATTAATACAAATAAACGTGTTCAATGTCAATATTATAATTACTTTATTGCCGCAAAATGTATTGTATCATTAATAAGAATGCAAATATATCGTGTCTATTTTTTTAAATTGAAATGTAATAGAATAAAATATTTAATTAGTGTTTATTGTTATCCTTTAAGCTAATAGATATTTGTGCCAAGGTTTTATTATGCATTGAATTTCATTGTTTTTATCTTAGTCCGTGGTTAAGACTTGTTCGCGGGCCATAGTTTGGAGACCCCTGGTTTAAATCTTCTACCATAAGTACAAATTATAAACCATAACTTAGTTTATATGGTCGAGATGGTCGAATTATCGGTAAGACTGAAGGCTTAAATATAAATAATGTGTGGGTAGATACTACATACTAGGTACGACGTACGTACGATGCAAATTATTAATTTAACACTTTATCTCACTTTGATATTTTGCATCTCGATTAATATTTGTACATTAACAAAGTTTAATAAAATGTTCAGATTATTGTTGTAGATTAGATGGATATAAAAAAGTAGGTACCTACTAAAAATTGTGTTGATCAGATAATATTTAACATGGGTATGTTTTTGTTTATTAATTCAATTGGTTTCTACTTTATGTTTTATGAATAACCTCCAAAGCGCTATTATAAAATGGATTAATGGAGTGTAAAAATAAATTGTGATAATGTAAGTATACCTTCATTTTTTTAAAACTGCTTTAAGAAAATCTCATGTGAAGTACTTTGAATTGAAATTTTAAGCTCTTTGACCGAAGAATGAAAATTCTTATAAACATACAATCATCAATAAAAAAATGAATAATTTGAATTCAAGAGTAAGTACAGTGGTACAGGGGAAAAACGGTTATAGGTAGTCCATTTTTATCGATTTTCATTTTATGGCACATTAGGAGTAATATCGAGGCTTAAAATTGATTCGTTGAAAAAAGTAAAACCTTTCAGTCCGATATTATTGCGATTTGCGAAGAGAAAAGTAAGGTTGAAGCCTTGTGGAGAAATATCCAACTATTATTATTATTATTTTTTTTTTTAATAAAAACTGAAGGAGTGAAGTTCAAATTTTTTTTTCTTATACCTAATCACCACAATTTTTATTTATTTCTATTATTTTCAAAATGTATACATTTTATTAAGATAATATTTCAAGAAACATTCTTTTTTGTTTAATTATTATATTACGCCTTTATTATTTTTATATACCTACCTACCATTATAGAATAAATAACTTATTCCAAATTCATTTTAACGCTCCAGATTCATAATATAATTCGTAAATCCGGATTGGTATCCATAACCCGGATATTGATTGATCCAGATTTAGTGCTCAGCACTTTGAACTATCAAAAAAATGACAAAATAATTATAGTAAGCACTTAAATATTTACAATACTTCTCTACACTACAACGATCCGGTATGGTCTAGTGGCTAGGATACCTGGCTTTCACCCAGGAGGCTCGGGTTCGATTCCCGGTACCGGAATAAATTTTTACATTTTTTTTTACTACCCCAGTAAATTACTATTTTACAATTTTTAGTTTTTACTCAAATTACCTACAATATATTTCGAGATTTGCAAAACCTACCCCCTCCCTCCCTCCCTCCCTCTATATTGTTCTATGGTTATACACAGTTCTTGTTGAGTAGTATAAGGTCTATGATTCAAAATAAATTAATGACCCACAGACATAATAATATTTACATTTTACTTAAAATATTATAATTTATAAGTTAGCAATTTTGTATACTTCATTAATGGTTTCAAAATTGTAAACCTATGGTATGCCTATAAATATTATATTACCTGAAGTTTAATATTATTAATACGTCTTAATATGTATTAGCTATTAATCAATAATATCTATAGGTTTAGCTATAGGACCACATTAAACTCATAAATTAAATATCTATTCAACAAATCAAGACTTTAAGCTACTAATGCACTATATTAAAGTGAATTAAAAATATTTCTTCACTTAATTAATTTTAGTACCTACAAAATTATTTAAGCATAAATATAACTTAATACCTACTACCATCACCAAAACATTCTCATTGTTCCCATTTTAAGCACAAAATTAATATAAATATTCCTAAATTGAGAAATTGTTTTGCTCAATTGGGATAAAATTAACCACCATAACTTTTATTATCCACACCATTAAGAATAAATATTATTACTACCATTACTTATAATATTATTTAGATTAGGAAAAGCTTATGTAACTGTACCAAAAATTATACATTAGGTATTGTCATCATCTTGTATTATTGTAAATTATGTTCCACGATCTGTTTCGTCCTGATTTTGTAACCAATATTCACTAAAATTTACTTTAACCGTATTACCTATTATATTTATTTATTAATATCTTATTTCTTATTTTTAATTCATACAATTGTTATTAATGTTGTATTATTATTGATTAATAATGTACCTATTAAGAATTTTCAACTCCACATAGCCAGCAGCTTGAAAGTGACTCACTTCTGTTATTTTAATAATATATTCATCTATTGAGAAACTATAAGTTTGAAAAAAAAATATTTTAACATATTTTAATAGGTATTTATATGCAAGCACAAATAAATTATAATATTGTTTAATGATGACATGATTCCTACAGACAGCTGTTTAAAAAGGTATAATAAATAAAATATACATTACAACTTTTGTAAATTGATATAAATATAATCTAAATCTATATTATGTAATTAATAAATTCTTAATTTACAATTATTTAATATAACATAAGTAGGTATCTTTAATACTAATATTAAGCTACATTGGTCAAATTCAATCATAGCGTTAAGACTAATATTAAAATACTTATAGGTTATACTATTATAGTACCTAAAGGATAATATAAATATAGGTATTACAATAACAAAAAATAAATACGACAACATCGTCGTCTTATGCATGCCTCCTACTCAATAGTTGAATAAATTAATTGAAACGTATAAAAATAATAATTAATTAATACGTATTTGTACAAAGTAAACAAGTTAAATTAAATGTTCAGTAGCAGGTACATTTAAAGTTCCTAACATTATACTTAAATAATTTTATATTATTTATATAATTATTATATTTGTTATGTTTTTACAATTGGAATGTTTTCTTTAAATATTTCCAAAATGTCTTCATATGGCTAAACAGTTTATTGACCATATTAATAGTTGTCTTACTGTAATCGTCTTCGTCTGTATCCTCAAAAACAGATTTGCGTTTAAGTTTAATGTTTAAATTGTCAAACCCACTGTCTTCTGATAAAATGTTCATTTCGTTCTTATTTTTCCAGTCTATCAAATTATCACTGTCTCCTGTGACTTCGTTGTTTTTTGGATCAACAGCATGCTCGTTTTTGTCTATGTATGTATTCACTTCGTTTAACTTAACCGTAAAGTCAGCCACCGATCGGGGATACCTAATAATTTCACGTTTCAAAACTGGCTCACCTTTTATGCTAAGTTCATTGGATCTATCAGAATTCAAAATGTCATTAACATCCATTATGTCATCTTCAACTACAACATTTTTGAGGGATCGTTTGACTTTGTGAACTTTCTGATGAAGTTTATGTTCTATTTCCATTCTACGAGTTTTTAATTTTTCTTCTAAAGCTTTAATTTTAATTACTGCCGATGAACTGGTTTTGCTTTCAAGTTTACTATCTTCACTTTTATTATCTATTGGGCTGACAATTTGTTCGGACTGTAATATTTTTTTCCCGTCCTTAAGGTTCTCGACCAATCTTTCTGCGATTTTTTCGTTAGTTGCAATTTGTTCGAGATCGACATTGGGTAGAGTTCTTACTCTTCCTAAAGGATGTAGAACTGGTTTGGTTTTAATTTTTGGTATTGGTAGTATTGTTGTTTCACGACTCTCTCTTACTACTGTTTTGCCATTCTTTATTTCTGCTACATCAATAACTTTAGGTTTGGTTAATATAAAAGTTTTTGGTACATATGTAAAACTCCTCAACTTCAAAGTTTTTTTGGTGGGCATTTCTGTAACACTAGGTTGAGCATTAGTTATTTCGGTTATTGGAGGATGGCTTATTGGAGTAGTCTTGACGTTTTCCACGTCTAAAAGGTTGATATATTTTTTCGATTTCAGATTGATTTTAGGTCTTGCTATTTTAGTAGTTGTACTATTTGTTTGGCGATTATATCTTAATTTATCGGCCAAGTTGGTTATGTTTTCATTACTAGGCAGTTCTGTGTTTACGGAAATTGATTTTATACTTGACACCATTGAATTTCCAGTTATTGATTTTGTACTTTCCATCATTGCATTTTCAGTTATTGATTTTGTACTTGTTGTCATTGGCTTTTCAGTTATTGAGTGCTGTACAGTGGGATCTTTTACTTCTTCTTTAAATTTATCTTGCCGTCTTCTTCCTTTGATTTTTAGAGAAGTTTTCTCATTTACTTTAGCTAAAGCTTGTTCTGCCCTGGTTTTAATTTTTTGAACATGACTATCATATTTTGCATGATGTTTATCTACTGCTGCAGTTGACATGGGTGGAGTTGAGGTGATTATAGTTTTTTGTAGTGTTTGTGAAGTAAGTTCCGATTGTTTCACCTCAGGGACTACAGTGTTTATTGTTGTATATTCTTTTTTAATACGATCATGTGATTTAAAACGGTCTTCATCAAGTTTAAAAGGTATTTCAGAAGAGGATTGGTCATTTTTCGATAATGGATCTAATGGCAGTATTTCTGTGTTTGTAAATTCTTTAATAATTGCATCTAATTCTTTTGAACTATAATCTGTGTCATCGATAGATCTTTTTATTAATTTTAACTTTTGAGAAGGTTTAAGAGATGATATAGCAGAATCTAAATTTGAGTATAAGTCTGATCGAAGGTTTTTCTCTGCATGTCTTCTCCCAGCAACTGCTTGAGCTAGAATGTGATATTTTTCTCTTCTGCTTTTAGGTGGTGGTAGACTTGCTAACTCTGTTTGTGTTTCTATTGTGGTGGTTTCGGTTGAAGGAAATGTCGGAGGCTCATCAGAATATTCTCGATTATTTAATGTTTTCGGGAATTTCGAAAGCCAATTATTATTAGAAAATGTGACATATTTTACCAGTGGTTCAGATTGTTGCAAGTTTTCAATATTAGGTGAGCCCTCATTGTTTTGCTGAGATATTCGGATATTATTAACTTTTCTTTCAACTACAGGTTCATCATTGGTTTTAATATATTTAGGTCGGAATGCCACATACATTTGTTTTTCATTTGAGACCAATTCGTCTTCTTGGTCTAATATCGGTGTACTGTAATCGGTTTCATCAAACTCCTCTTGATCTAAAATCTTGACACCGTTTTTATAAGACTCTTTAGATTCTTCAATCTGAACTGCCATGCACGCCTTTGATTTACTGTCCGGTAACACTAAAAAAAATACGCATTGACTGGGAATAGTAATCAATTGGTTGGATACTCGAATTTTTGGTGATATAATTGGAAGATCGCCATCAGGTGATAAAATTAATTTTTGTCCATTAAGCATAGTAGACCTAAATAAAAATATAAAATATGCTATTATAGTTACATGGTGCATATTCAATTATTTTATATTCCACTTACAAAGACTTCAAAGCTCTTTTGGTTCGCCTGTTGTTGGTAGTTAAGAAATATTGATGTAATGGTAAACTTTGCATTTGCCCTGTTTTTAATGATATTTTTATGGCTTCTGATCCCATGTTTACACCAAAAACTACAACTGCGCCCCTATTATATCGATATTCAGGAGCTAATATTCCTTCGTTGGGATCGTACGGTGACATTTTTGTACAATGGGCAACTGTTTCTAAACGAGTTTTATTTCCAGACGAAATCTTAATGTCTAAAACTTCTGATCCAACCAAAGCTTTGTGTAGAACTGATACCCAATAATCCTGTACAAATAATGATTTGGTTATTATCTATATTATACTCTTTTTGAATAAATAATTAAAAATTGTAATTATATGATTATAGTTATTAAGTTTTAATGTGAATTCATCATTATTCATTAATTTTTAAATACTTCTAAAAAATATACTCATAAGAAAAGTATATGTAAATAACTAAAACACAAATAAAATAAATTTGATAATACTTTTATAACAAAAAACAATTTACTATTTAGTATGAAAAATAATCCAATATTATGTTAAAAAAAAACAAATATATTGGGTTTTAAGCTTCTGTTGAATAAAAATCAGTTTTTCGCAACTAAAATTCACTAACAATTAAATCAAACAAATAAAACTACCAATTAAATTGTTGATATTAATGATACATTGGTTCAGTCAGTCATTCTAATTACAATATTTCTACAGTCTAACTTTTTGGTAAACAATCATTTAAATAATAATATTAACAACATTTTGTATTTTTTTTTTTGATTTTCAGGAATATTTAAAAAATGATTGAATCGAAATTTATGATCAGAGTATTATTCTACAATAAGTGTTTCCAGGTACACAAAGAACACATCATATTGTAACAACATTGCATTCATCGATACACTCAGAATCCAAAATATGTATTTTATATACTAAAATTAACAATTATTTAAGGTCATTTGAGCTCTATTTATTTTTGAATTTTAAGATATATACAAGTTATTTAAAGCAGTAAAGCACCTATGTTTTATGAAGAATTTAAATTGTTTTTAAAATGTCTAGATATATACTTACAATTTTATTAAGAACATTAAGACTGTTATAACTTATGAGTCTTGATAATGTCAATTATAACTTAAATAACATTATTTGAAATTAAAAGTATTGATTCAATTTTATAATTACCGGAGTTGGCTCACTTAGCGATGACAACGATGGTTTTCTCATAATAGTATTTATTCCAACTCGAGCACCTGCACATAGCCTTTGTGCCCAAGTTAATCCATCCATGAAATCTCCTCTTCTATCTTTATTTCCCGATTCTACAATCCATAAAGGTTTCTTGGTGGCTATTTTTCCTAGATATTTGTTTGTCACATCTTTTTGCCACACCCTAGCTTCCATTTGATTTTGTATGTAGCTGAATATTTCAGTGGGATTCTCAACATTTTTTTCACTTGAAAAGGGTCTAAAAAAAGATTTATTATTAAATTTCATTTTTTCCCCCTAAAATACAATTTCAGTAAAATGCGATTAACTGACAAAATGTTTTGAATTTTATACTATTAAAATACTTTTAAATTTTAATGACTAAGTAAAATTATGAGAATTCTATTAATAGAAAAAATGTTACAATTATTGTCCCCTGATACACAGTAAACTGTTACAGTAATTGTAAATAAAATATATGTATCCAATTTGTTCTTGTTAAATAATTGTATGAAAAATATGTATTTGATTGATTACCTACTCAAAATAAAACTTTTACTATTACTATTACTTTACATTATTGACAATACTATATGTATATTTGTAAAAATATGTATCTTACCCAATGGCCTAGATGCCGAGGGTTATTTCTTTAGTAAAAAAAAACACTATATGTATAATATGCAGATATAAATAAATATATACCAATTACTAAACAACCTATTCTTGAGTAAAAAAAAGTAAACTAATGAAACTAACTAACTAATCTATATTATTATTTTTGGCGGTAAACATAGACTAAGCTATAATATATTTTTACATTATATGTATATACAAAATACAATATAGGAGAGAGTCCGAGAGTGTAGTAAGCTGACAGACCTAAGGATTGATTGATATTTATATTATTAAATAATAGACCAAAAATCTTGAAATTTTGTGTAGGTAAGCCCTGTCTTAAATATCAAGAATCGTTTTCAATATATTTATACCTACAGTCAAAACTCTTTATAAAGAATCTGAAGGGACCAACAGATTTCTTTCGTTATAGAGAGTTTTCGTAATAGAGAGAGTTTAAAAAAACAAAATTTTAATTATTTATGTATAAATAGGTATGTGTAACTATGTAATATTATATATCAAACACATCATTATTTTTACATTATTTTATATATATTTACGTATTATATTAAATTATTATTATTATTATACATACTTATTAAATATAATTTAATTTTTATACTATACATATTTATACTTTATTTAAAATAGTCTGTGATCTTAGTTTGGACTTTTTTATTCGGCATTATTGCCGATTATTTTTATAGTTTATATATAATGTAATGGATACGATAACACGTAAATTGTATTATGAAACATAAAATATTGTTTCGTTATTGAGAGTGACTAATACGTTATAGAGAATGAATTGTCTAATGGGTTATAATATAGCAAACCAACCATTATTATGTAATGTTTACGTTATATAGAGTTTTTCGTTGTAAAGAGTTTCGTTATAAAGAGTTTTGACTGTATTTATAGCACATATTTTTTTGTTTACAAGCAAATATGCATATATTTAAGCTCTAAATAGTAACTTTTTAGTACTATATCTCCCGAGTCCTGATTGTATATATTAAGTAATAACTTATTACTTACAAATGTGCAATCGAATAATAATAATTTTATAATATTGTATGTAATTCAGTATACTGATTAAGTGTGAAATCTTTTATCTTAAAAAACGTTTAGAGATAATATAGTTAAATATAATATTATAATATTTATGACTTATGTTAAATTAATTTTTAAAAAAAAGTACTACTTACACTTGGTATGATAATGCAGAAAGCGAAGGACCAGATTCTATGATAAAATTCTTCAAATACCGAGCTTCTTCTGGAGTTTCACACGATCTAACGTCAGGACCCATAATTGGCGAATTCAAGTATCTAGGGAATGCTTCAAGTACTTTACGTAATCTGTTTGCATCCCTACCGAGTGACGAACCATCAATACGCGATCCAATCGTTTGAATATCTGAACAATACAATTAGGCATGTTTAATAATGGGTACTTTTTACATGCAATTGTAGAATGTTAAGTATAAAGATGTACCAACCATTGCCAATTTGGAACGCCATATTGTAGCCTTGTTTATCCGAATATGATATAAGATCTAAGGTGTTACTAAGATCCCACGATCCGTGTTTTCTATTCATAACATTTAAGCCCACAATTAAATCCAATCCAGTTTTGGCTATAAATTCGTTTAACTGTGACCAGTGCCAGCCGGTAATAGTTATATTGTTTTTCCCTTGTCTTGCGGGATGGGTTGGTGACAATTTCGAAGTGTCTTCACCCCCTTGAAACTTGAAGTTATTGCATTCCGGACCAGATATCCTTATGTACGCTGGATTTAAGCCTTTAGCCATGTTAATGGTGGCTGGTCTAAAATACATAAATTAATTGCATATTTATAAGATATTATATGTATACTTATCACACAGAAATTATGAAAACAAACCCAAGGTTTTTTTGCAATGCCGAAAATATAGTTGACGGTTCCAGTGCAATACTTAAGAAGTGATCGCTGACGGTATGCATACATTTTTTAGTATTGATATTTATAGATAAAACGTTGGTCAAATAACCTGCAGGTTGCACTAAGATACTTGGATTTTGTGAGTTTGTCAAGCAAGTGCCAAACAAGAGCAACGCTCCTAACGAAACGATGTTAAACATTGTATAATCTGCAACAACAAAATATTATTTTAATAAAATCGTTACGAATTATTGTATTATTCGTATACATCAAAAACATGATCACATTATAAAGTATGTATTCGTTTGCAACACTCGTATAGGCATGCCTTAAATAAGACATTTAGATAGAATTCTAGACATTCTAGAATAAAAGTTTGTCAATTAAACCTGACAATCGACGGTAGCCGGTAGGTATACCGTATACGGTATACCCACATTTGCGTACATTATAATATACAAAATATTTAAAAATTACAAATGCGAATCACTTACTAAGAACCTAAGACGATGTCTTGGACGAATTCGTATCGTTTAAATACACGTAGAAACGAATTCAAAATATCAAACACTGTACTGGAGACCACTTATAATTTGTCTACAACATTATGCTCTGTCGACTCGGCGTGGTTTGTGAGGCGTTTTGCACACACGCTTGTATATATAACGCGATGGTATTTTCTGTAATGGAAACATAAACAATTTAGTTTGTTGTTTTTATAAATGGAGATGTATACAATCGTATACATACTCGTGACATTTTTTAAATAACATGAAGTCTGACGGAATCTTCGACACGCAATCCCTCTTATGTTCAACAATACTTGTCAATTTGTGTGTATCAAAATAAAAACAATTTTATTTCGTGTTTTTCGTATTATTTTATACTTTTGTTATTACTCAGGTGCTGTTCACCCGTGAAGTAAATGCACATAAGAATGCGGAACAATATTGCATTTTTGTTTGAAAAGATCATTGCACGTTTACACGCAATATTCGTCAATAACTCAATGAAAAAACAAATTTTATTTACTTATATGTAATATAGACATATAGTATTAACTTTTCTATTAAAATAATATTATAAGTAAGTAATACATTTACTAATACATTTACTAATACTTATTATATTATCATACATAAACAACTATTGTTACCTAACCATCTTGGAATATAGTAATAAACTAATATTTGCAGGATCTATAGAATAATAAAAAAAATTGGTTAAATAAGATGGTTGGGGATTGGGCCCCTAGCTCTCCGCTGGATCCGTCCCTGATAAGCATAATACACTTACCCCTAGGCCCTGGGGCCGGGTTACATAAACGATTGATTAATTTAATTGTTCAACAAAATTGAATGGACCAATCATGAGCTACTAAATCATGTTTAATAGACCATATTATACATATTTTATACATCATTGTATATTGATTCATTAGGTTGACACATGTTTAGTGATTGTTAATAACTAATTAAATATAATTTGTATGATGCCGATAATAAATTCAAATTCATAATAAGGTAATCGATGTTATTTATTTATTGATATAAGCATGCTGTGAATAAAACTATAAATAAATATGTGTTTCCATGCAAAACTTTTCGAACGAAATGCATTTTAATTTTTTAATTGTAAATATTTTTAAAGTTTTATTCAGTACAACTATATTTCCAGTAGTTAGATAATTCAATAATTGCGATGTGTGCCTATACTTAATTTATTTTGATAAAAATTGTTACATTAAATTATTTTGTATTTTGTTTACTCTTTCAGAGTTCAGACATAGACAAAACCCTTTAGTGTACAATTAATTTTTTATGTTTTCGAGTAATCTTAGAGTAAAATTGAGCATTACAAAAATAGTAGAGAATACAATTTTTGTTGGTTTGAAGTATCAGTCTGTCTAAATATTATCTCAATTCTCAATACAATTAAATATCCATTTAAATTTTAAAAATTAATTTTTTATTAGTCAAATAATAATAAAATAGAAAATCGATGTGTAAAACCCTCCAAATATTATTCTCTATTCATTTTGTAAAAGATAGTAATTTTATTCTAATATTTTTAATCACTCACAAATCATAAAAAACGATTTTACTTAAATGCGTTATTGCGTTTCGTCTTTATGACGTGGCGCGTGAGTCAAAGAGAGAAAACAAATATGGTGCTGACGTCATTCTCTTAGAAAAAAATAATGATAAAATTCTCAAATATTGTTTTGTAAAATTTTTTCTCACGCAAAAAAATAATAATAAAATGACAAAATCTAGAATAAAATCTAGTATATACTAGATACAACTACATAAATATTAGACTAACACTATACATAATATGTCATATTTCTATTACTTAATATTAAGTATTTTTTATTTCATATTTATAAAACTTGTTTATTTTTATTTATTTACAGAACACTTCATTTACATTAGGTACATATTACAAAAACACAGTCAATAGTCATATTTCATAATAAAAAAAAAAACAATTTCAGTTGGTCTTATAACCGTTTAGTGTTTTTAAGTTTTTAGATAAGTTTATATTATTATTTTTCAAGAAATGTCATATGAGATTTATTTGTACCATAATTTGAATCTGATGCGTACAATGTTTTCAAAAGTAATATGAAAACAATTTTAAATTTACAGATAACTTTCAGCAGTAAAAATGTATCTCATTACATTTCACTCATTTCAGTATCTATATCCGTATGAACCACATTAATACATAACATTTTATTATTGTATAAATTGATTGCTGAAGCCTGGAATGTAAGTTTAGGTAGGTATTATTTTAATCGTGTTATTTATCTTGTAAAAAAAAAGCAAAAAATAATGCTTGATAATCACAAATTTTGAATTTATACTAAATTACATTATTTTTATGACTTATAATATTATTTTATGTTTACATTATGAACATTGACTCGTATTTCGATTATTATTTGCGTACGTGATTTTAAAATAGTGGGCTTTGTGACATTTGACCTACATAGCAAATAAAACCTAAGTACACCCAGATGAATAATTATTGTATTTGTGCAGTAAAAATAGTATGAAGTAGTTTATAATCCTAATAAGACCATGGTAACTAATAAAAAAAACCCAATAGCTATAAAAAAAAATATAGTAGACGCTATAGAGGTATGGCTAAAAAAATATGTAAATTACGATCGCATATCCGCATGTATTTTGTCGATAAATGTGTAAATTGGTGATTAAAACTTATCGGTTGCCTAAATGTGGTGGTAAATGAAGGGCACTTTCCTCCCCCCCCCTCCCAGGATGTTCCACTGAACGTCTAAACAAACATTAGAATCTTCTTAAATATTTAGAGAACATACAACACATAAGCAAATATAAATTTTCAAACAATAAGTTATTAAGTACTTATTGCTTTTATCGAATAATATTTCTTAACTATTTCCATGATATTATGCTTAAAACTGTTAATATTTTGTGATAAATTATGAAAAAAAGAACAATTTACCAAAATTACATAACAGTAAGAACCTACTTTGTATTGACAAAACTTGTACCTATAGGTGTACGTTATAGTACGTGTACTAAAAGCTAATTGTTAAGCAAATAAAAGGTTTAACTTCTTGGTATTATACTCAGACCTAAGGCGACGAAAACCTACGTGAAAAACGGTATTCAAGATTAGATAAGTTACTATATAGAAAATACTGTATGCTGATGTAAAAATTAAGTAGAGGTGGGTGAGTCGAATTCAAAAATATTGTTTCGAACCGATCCTTTAACTCGTATGTTGAACAGAACACGGACCGATCAATATTCAGTGTAATGTCGAACTCCAATAGAACTTTTTATTCGTACTTCGAACCAAACAGACAACAGCCGTAGTAATAAATATAATGTAACACTGATAACTAATTAGACGCATTATTGTGTATCGGATAACGACTATATAACGGCTAGGTATATCGAGTAAAGACCAATGTTACAAATGATTATGAATTATGATTTATGAATAACAATAATTGATATTAATTTTTAATATTATTAAGCGTTACAAACTCTGATTATAAAAATAGTACAAAAGCAAAATAATTGTGTAAGTCTATAAATAATTATTCAATTACACAAGAAGTAATCAAAGCCCGAACAGTCTCTCAGAACATTCAACTCATCTCCACATTAAAAATAATAAACTATAGTATAGAAGTATGGTTGTATAGACAAGACCATTTACAAATTCATCATTAAACATCCACATAGGGAACATTTTTGGTTCCAAACGTAGTTTATCGTTTTGGAATTTTTTTGGAGTTCAAATTATTTCGAACTTTTGTTCAAGTTCGATCGACGAAAAAAACGAAAAGTTCGGTTTGATTTTTCGAACTTCAAACAGCACGAGCCACCTCTACAATTAATATAACGTAAATACGAATTTAAGCTACTACCCTACTGAGTAGTTGAGTTGACGCTTAAACGAAAATAATAATAATAAAACAAAACTATAGTTTACCTAGTATTAAATATCGACATACGACACATTTCACGCCGTTGATAATAAAATATGACACGATATTATTTTATTCTTGCTCCCCTCCGTAGTTTTTTCTCCAACTACACCGTTTCATATCTCTGGAGAAAAATAACGTATTAACGTTTATTCGAATTCAGTGAGATCGTACATTATTAAGTGCATTTTGTACCCCCACAATCACACATTCATACATGACCGGTTTCATCTAAATATTATTGTTTTGTCCATAATTGTAACATACGTTCAAACAGCTTACCGCTATAACCGCTTACCTACTGCGGTATTCAAGACATTTTAACTTTTAAACAACAATAATATAATATTAAAATATACTTTATGCGTCCACGCGAAGTATTCTGAAGATGAAGACATGCCATTCGTTTTATCGTGAAAGAAACGTGCTTTTTTTTCAGTCGCAGTCGCTCGTCCGGAGGTCATTGCCGCCATCGTTCCACAAAACGAACGACGTAATTTTGAACGCGCGCGTGTTCGGCGCGCTCGGCCCGCGTGTAGACAGTACGACCGTCGGAACCGCCGCGTGGCCGGTCCGTCGTCGCCGTAGGACGGTCACACTGTCGACAGTCAACGGGACGATGGCAAACGCGACCGCGTTCACGAGCTACGTTGTCGTTTGTTTTGTTTGGGGTTGTGTTTGTGAAATTCATTGATTGCTGCTTTACAAAATTAATCTTTTACCACCAAGTTTTGTTGGTACTTTATACTTGTTTCCCGGTAAATTTGTAAATTTCAATTTACGATCCCGCTGGTCACTGGCGTCGGCGGAAGACTTGCTGGCCGGGACGGTTATTACGCGGGCTCGCGCGCTTGGGCGTCACAAGTCACAACACGTAAACGTAAGTGCACCGTAACAACATTTGTCGTTGCATTAAACACCGTCGGCGGTGGACAAATCGTACACGCGAGCAACGATGTGGGCCGAGACGACGCACTGACGTTTTGGCGTTTCTCGTCAGGCTCGCACAGTGGTTGTAGTCGCCGCCTTGTCGTCTGCCGAACCGATATCGTTGTGCTCGCCTGTGTTTACCTACCTCTAACCGTTGTTTGTTTGTGTGTAATAGGACGATGGGCGATTATATACACACAAACATTGCCCAGGACAATGTGGCGATGGTGCGGCTCGAGCTGGCGCAGAACGATCAGATACCGCTGCGGCGACCATTCGACCCGCTCATCCACGACTTGGACCCGCACTTCAAGTTGACCAGGTTCGCCGACCTCAAAGGACGCGGGTGCAAGGTGCCCCAAGAAGTGCTCAACAAGCTCCTGGAGGGATTCCAACAGGACGAAAACGGCCATGGTGAACAGTCGCATTTCATGCACATGACCATGACTAAAATTGGTATCGGCATGGACGCAGCTGTCGTACCCATAAGGCACGGTGGCCTGTCGCTAGTGCAGACAACCGATTATTTTTATCCACTTGTTGACGATCCATTTGTGATGGGCAAAATTGCCTGTTCCAACGTACTAAGCGACTTGTACGCCATGGGTGTGACCGAATGTGACAATATGCTCATGTTACTATCTGTATCTACCAAAATGACTGAAAAAGAACGAGATGTTGTGATACCATTAATAATGAAAGGTTTTAAAGAAACAGCTTTTGAAGCTGGTACTACAGTGACGGGTGGACAGACTGTTGTAAATCCATGGTGTACCATTGGAGGTGTTGCAACTACTGTATGTCAACCAAACGAATTTATCATACCAGATAACGCTGTAGTTGGCGATGTTCTTGTACTGACCAAACCTCTTGGAACACAGGTAGCTGTAAATGCACATCAATGGGTTGATCAACAAGATAAATGGAATCGAATAAAACTAATTGTTTCAGAAGAAGATGTAAGAAAAGCCTATCAACGTTCTATGGACTCGATGGCTCGTTTAAATAAAACTGCAGCCAAATTGATGCACAAATACAATGCTCATGGTGCAACAGACGTCACTGGTTTCGGGCTATTAGGTCATGCCCAAACGTTAGCAAAACATCAAAAGAACGAAGTATCGTTTGTCATTCACAATCTTCCAGTAATCGCCAAAATGGCATCAGTAGCAAAGGCATGTGGCAATATGTTCCAATTGTTACAAGGTCATTCAGCAGAAACATCAGGTGGACTTTTAATTTGCTTACCAAGAGAACAAGCTGCAGCATATTGCAAAGATATTGAAAAAGTAGAAGGGTATCAAGCATGGATCATAGGTATCGTGGAGAAGGGAAATCGTACTGCACGAATAATAGATAAACCTAGAGTTATAGAAGTTCCGGCTAAAGAAAAAGATGGAGAACTGTGGTAGGACTGTAATTAAATTAGTGCCATTGACTCTGGAAGTTGTAAGGAATATACTTTTTTTATTTTATTTAATATCTAGCTTTCCATTATTTCAAGATTTAATTTATTCAAAATCTTAATTATTTGTTTTTGTAGCTTTTATTCAATTTTATTATGTATTTTTTTCCACCACAGCTAGACTTATTGAAAAAATACATAAATATATTTCTTACAAATCTTCAAATTACAATTGACCATTCATTAAAGTCTATATTTTTGTTTTGTGTAGTTTTAATCAAATAAAAATATCTGTATGTACTGGTTACGTAAATTGGCTTATAGTCTTTACAAACCTAAAGAAAATTGAAACAATCTATCGTACAATATATGGAAATTATTAATTATGGATTACAGTTTGAAAACTGGCTACTAGTTTTAATGTTTTTGAATTTAGTTGAAATAAATTGGGATCCAATACAATATGTATGTATATTCTATATAAATCCAATTAATGGTTTACAATTATTATAATGGATTGATGTCAATGTACATTATATCAAACCTCAATGTTAATATTAATTAATATTATCCATTAACATAAATCATTTTTGAGCAATAAGCGCCAATATTAATATTAAAATAAATATTGTGTTAAGCTTATTATGTATGATATAAATATATATTAAATAGTATTTATACAATTCAAAAAATTATTTTATTTTGTACTTACACAAAATAATATGTGCACAAAGTTTATATTGTTTCTATTTTAATAATTCTTTATAATAAAGTTTATAATAAATTGCTTGGAATTAATTTATTTAAACTTAAAATAATTCATATCTATTATCAAATGTACTTTTATTTATATTGTCAACTTACATTAAAAATACTATAATTTACTTTTGAATATGCCTTACACTAATTTGTATTTTGTTATTTCTGTCTAAACAGATTAAATCAAACTTAAATATTCCTAAGATCAAAGCTGAGGCCAGTAAACTTTTGATCAATATTCTTTTAAATGATTTTTTAGTGTATTATAAGTAATACATTTCTATATTTATTGAATCTTGAAAGACCTAAACTAAGAATAAAAATTTTATAAATAAAATTTTTTTTTCATAATAATTTATAATATATAAAAATTGTACGACTATTTAAATATTAGTTCTAAATACTCCTGTGCATGATAGGTATTTATTGTATAAATGACTACAGTAGTTTTACTAAGATAATTTTGGGTCTAATAATGTATTCAAAAAAAATTGAAAAAGAAAAATTATAATTCAAAATCACAGCAACAAATTTCAAAACTAAAATATAATATACCATGAAATATAAATTAGGTACTAGTGGTTGTAAAGCTGGTGTTGTGGCTAAGTTCAGTCGATTCTTCACGATAGCTCAAATAACTACGACATTTTTAACAAGTCCACTATATCGGAAATCATTATTGTAATAGTCACATTTTTTCTCATTTAACTTAAATTGTTTTTATAATTGATAAGAAGTGTAGCATTAACTTTCTTTGTTAATTATTATGCAGTTAATCACTCGTATCCTTACATTAAGGACATTTTGGGATACATGTCTGTAATTATGTCAATTAAAATACATTTTCAAACTAAATTTTTAAATACTATCTTGTCTGTTAAAAAAAATTTTTTTAAGAAAATATAAGAACACAGTGAGTTTATATAAAACTATTTTTTATTGATACATACTTCTAACAATGATGATTAACTATTTATTTATGCTGTTCTTAACATTTTTGCTTCTTTTAGTTCTTGCAATTCTCGTCTTCGTTCTTCCAACACAATCTTTCGTTCTTCTAAGAATTGCTGATATTCCTCTGGGTTCAAATCCTTGACTACTTTGATGCCTAATGACCTGGCAGTAGAAATCAACATGTTGCATATCTCTTCTAGATTTCTGAACTCTAGGTTCTCGTCAGTCTGTTTAATCAACGCTATTTCATACACGTGTTTTAGCGTAACCATTCCGGCCGTCTCCTTAAGGGGGTTCATGGCTCCTTTCTGTATGCCCGCGGCTTGTTTCAGGTAGTACATGGACGGAGGTTTTGTAATCGATATCTGATAGCTGCGGTCCGGATTGACGTGCACCCGGGTCGGCAGGGGTATGCCTTCTTTTATGTCTTTGGTCTTCTCGTTGAAATCCTTGCAGAACGCTGTAATGTTGATGCCCCTGCAGCCCAACATGGGGCCAAGAGGAGGGCCTGGTGTAGCCATGCCGGCCGGTATGTTTGTCCGCAACTTACCGTGTTGTACTTTCTCAACGCCTTGTTTCATTTGCCGCAACTTACTGGCGTTGTACTTCGACATGGTTTAAAAGTTAAAACGGTTGGCCTCCACCCGTTGGTACTCGACACTAGACTGGTCAGTGGGTATTTTTTCGTCTGGAATACAAACTGTTTAGACTTTAAATTAATATAGTTGATTTCGAAAATATAAAAAGAATTACGAAATACGAATACGAAAATATGAAACCCCAAATATTAAATAGTGGTATCTGTAATCTTAGTCTTCACTTTTCGGACAAGTGCTTATCAAACGCTTTGCAATGTGATCGTTGCGGTGATAATATTGATAAGAGATAATAACTACCACTATGGAACAATTATATGGTAACAATATGCTACCACGGACCACGGTTTAAGATATATACAGGTTGCAGCACGATAAAATTAAAATAACTATTAATAACTATTTTAACATGGGTTGCGTAACCGTAAGTCCGTAACGACTATTTTTTTTATAAATTATAGCTACCTATGGTCTGGGTTAGGTTAGTTAAGCAGTTCAACTGTACAAGATATTTTCTCACAAATTAAACAAATCGTAGCTACTGCCAACTAGTAAGCGGCCAAAAAAATGCTGACGTTTCGAGCCGTGATCCACCGAAGTGCAGCCATTAGAAAAAATAATTTTCAGTAGGTAAGTATGCGGAGGTCCTATGTATATAATATAAAGATAGTTGCCACAAATCATTATAAAATACATTTTTAAAAAAACTTATCAAATTTTAGATTATGTTAGGTTAAAAAATATATTGATTGAAAAAAAACTGCGAGTTGAAATCATTATATTCCGAGTTTGTAAGTAGGTATAATCATTGATTTGTTATTTGTCCACTTATTTGCATACCTCCTTGTTCAGTATTCAAATGTTTTTTATGTTAATTTGTTATTTATTTTGTCAATTTGTTGACTTTTCATTTTAACATTTTCCAGACTAATGATATCTGTTTTGCATTATTTCTGAAAAATTGAATGAGGGTGCCCCAAAAAAGGGCACTAATTTTACCTTTTTCATAATAAAATTATATTATAAATGTGTGTTATAGATTTATAATAATACATATAATAATTAATTACTTAAAATATACTATGAATATGATTATTATCCTATAGGCCTAAGGTACAACTCATGTTGTCGATTCTAGATGGAGCTAGTGTGTAGAAAAAGTTTTTATTTTTGATTGTGGTTTCTGGTACCAAATTAGATAATGGATAATATAGTAATTTATTTAAGCTGTAAAATAGTACTTAATATTTAAGTCAACACTTTATATTGATATTATTTCAAGGGGGAGGGGGAGGGGTATAAAATAAAAATTCATAATAATCGAGAAAAACAATGTTAAAGAAAAACTGGATTATAAAACTTCACTTAGATTTTAGTACTTAGAAGTATACCTATAGGCTAATAGAAATACACTAAGACTATAGTAAATTGAATAGCCACGTACAATAAAGTAAAATAAAATAATTTTAAAATTTAGTTTAATGTAATTTAAATTTTCAAACTTAATGTAAAATTGTATTATTATTTAAGTATGTAATTATGTGGTGCAATTTAAAAGGTTAATTATTGGTTATTACCTCAGCAATTAGTAAGTATGTATTATAATTATTATGCATGAACACCACTGAACAGGCACAAAGTAATTACCTATCTCAAAAACGTTTTAAACTTACTAAATATTTAAATTGCCATTAACCAAGCAAGGACTGTATAGTATCTATTTGAGTTCATATTTTTTATCCATTAGATAATTGTACATACCATTCCATATTATGGTTGCGGATAACAAACAAGTATATTATATAGTTTATGGTAACTTCATGTCTCCATAATATCAAAATCCATAACACTTGAGTAATTAAAAAAAAAGTGTTTGTTTAAAGTTTTAAACATATTTTTTTTTAAGGTTTTTTATGCAAATAGTTAATCCATTATGTATTTATGTATATTATATTATATTAGCTAGGGACAAGACCTGTAACAACATGTATAATTTGCACCATTTTTTTAAAAAATGCGTTTGTAATTTGCACAAAATAAGGATATGTAATTTGCAACATCCTCGGGTAGTAAGAAATACTAAATAGGAATTGTAATTTGCACCAAAATTAAAATCGATTATTTTTTCGATAGTTTCTCGATAGTACCAACTTATAAGTTTGAGCTTATACATATATTGCTGAAGTTTATATAAAATCGTATAATTATGAATATAAAAAAATGTTAGCCAATTAAAATAATTATATGTATGTAAAATTAAAAAAAAAGCAATTTAGATTTCGATAAAGATGTCTATAATCCTAATATAACTTTATCTTAGATTTTATTTGTTTTAGTTAATTGAATTTTTTTTTTGTATTTGTATGCAACTAATTCAATGAATGGAGTTCTTGAAATCAATTTATTATTATATTGGTCTAAAGCAGCTTGAATTTGTTTTATCCCTTGACATATTTAAGAAGTTATTCGCGGAGTTATATTGAAACTTGATAGTTTTATGTACATATCTGTTTGAAAATCTTTTTTAAAAAAAATTAAAAATTGCACTACAAAAATGTTAGGTACGTATTATGTATTACGACGAGGCGGCAAGACTAAATGTATAGCTTAGTAGGTATTTGATCAAAATAATAAACTGATATACATTATATATATTTATATAACGCGGTTACAACCGATAATTGAACGTAAAACGTCAAAATATTACCAGATAAGGTGAAAAATCCCAAAAAATTATTATTGTCATTCTTGTCCATCTATAACCTTGACAGTTGACGCAAACGAGGATATCGAAGTATAATCGAACAAATAAATAATCATTTTGGTGCAAATAACAAATTCTATTTTCGACTACCTGAGGGTGGTGCAAATTACATACCTACCCTTATTTTGGTGCAAATTACAAAAACTACTTTCGACTACCTGCAGTGGTGCAAATTACAAACTCCCGATATATTAAACGAGCCAAACCACGTAAAAAATCTAAAATACTACTATTGGATCTATCTTTATATACCGTCATTATTCTTTTCTCCCTGTCAATTATTATTGTCTTTACTGTCTTTCTGTTCTCCGCGATTAATAATTTTTATTATTTGTTTATTATGTTGAAAAATAATAAATCGTTCGATGAGAATTCGTTAATTTATGGGCGAATATCCAATAGCAAAAAACTTTAAACGTTCATAAAAAATGAATTTGTCTTTCCGGCTAAAGCAATAATAATAACTTACCTATGCAGACCATTGATTTTCTTTTTTCGTAGCACCAATAATACATGTATCTAACCATGTATACCTATTACTTAACCTCTCGATTTTTGTCTTTCTTCATTAAATATCCCTTGACACTAATTTTGGTATTTCCTATTTGAGATGTAATTATTTGACATATTACACTCATTTTCGTAAATTATATTAAAAGTATATTAGTTTATAGGTACTATACAAATATACAATTAACACGACAAAATACGTTGGTTCATTTTAAATGTTCAATCGTTCACTCAGGGTAAATAACTGAGCGTTTTACATAATATTATCAGTTCAAAATTATTTTATTATATTTTATTTTTACTAGACTAAAATTTTAAAATGTAAGATAAGATAAAGTTATTTTATTTTATTTTGTCGGGATTGCATAACGTCGGTATTTTGACATGTCGGGATTCTGATCGCTTCCCCTATATTATTGAGAAGAATAAACCAACACTTATTAATTATTACATAATATATTAGCTTACAAAAGGTCAATAGTCAGTAGTCACTAAAAATATGCATTGATTCTCAACTTAATGGTTGGTTTTCGTTAGAAAATTGGTATGTTCAAGAGATTGTTAAATATTTCAGACGTTTTCAAAAACGAAAATAAAAAAATAATGAGGAAAACAGAAACTTTTAAGCAAAACAAGTGTCTGACAAAATTAAATTTTTTTTTTTTTGTTATGACAAATACATTTTTAAAATATTATGACTATTTTTGAGTTATTTATAACTTTATAAACGCTTAAAATATTGAATACAATGCCGATTGCCGATAGTAATGTTTTTTACCTGTTCAGAATGTTTGAAAATGCAGGTTAAAATATAAGGTTCATCTTCTTCACAATATTGTATAAAACTATAAACTAAAAAAATCGAAAATATATAACAATATTTGTTAATACTTAATATCTAAGTATTTAAACTTCAAGTTTTTACAACATTATAACAAGGTTTCTCAAAAAGAGATCATACTGTAACCAAAAAAAATAAAAATATAAAAATGTTATTTGTTGGTACTTGAAACTTTTAAAGTATATAAGAATGCATTTGCATATTATATAATACAATGGCTACTAATTTTATACTACCTATAGTAAGATTTCGATTTCACTATTTCAGTGATTACATTTGAACAGAGGTACATTTATTATTTATATAACTTTATTGAACTAATATTTATATATTTTGATAAACTCATGGATTTTTAATTGATTAAGATATATTATACATTTTATTTAATAGGGTTATGAAAGCATAATATTTTTTAATGTTTATGTTTAATACTATATTCTACTTCTGAACATATACTATAGTAATGACCAATAAAATATCAAATAATTTAAATATCTAATGTTAAAAAAAAAATAGGAATTGTGCATTATATATTCTGAATGAAGTGAAAGGTAATAGATAGTGTTTACTGCTTTGAGTTATTAGTTTAATAAACAATTTATTGTTAGAATACAACGTAGCTGTAGATAATATATACATAATATTATATATTATCTATAGCGGTAGTTGATTATTTGTAGATTGTATTTTTCAGATTCCATTTGTTGAATGCTCTAGTTGTTTCCAATTAAAACAATAATATTAGCACAAAAACGAAAAAAAACTATGACGACTAACATCAATGTCAAAAATTAAGTTAATGAAAATGATTTTTTTTACTACCTTTGTATTACGACATCATGGCAAACAAGTATTTGATGTTAAATTTTGCTTATTATGTACCTATTTATCTAGATATGAGGGTCCATTTGTCAAAGTACATTCCAACATTTGGAACACCATATAAATCATATCTTACAATTACTGTAAGGTGCTCAATGTTTAATGACATATCATAAGTGCATCTTATTTGTTATCTAAAAATATTAAAGTACTTATTAGATAATTGTGTTCATAATTTGTGAAAATAAGATTAGTACCTATTTCAATTTTTTTTTTTTTTCAGTAAATAATTTTTATAATTTTGGCATCTATTTGTTATTCTTTATCATTATTGTATCGAAATTACTATGAGTATTATGACTGTACCATTTAGTATTTATCTCCTTCTTTTAAGCCGCAATGTTGGCTTATGTAAAAAAAAATTATTAAAAATAGAATTTTTAATACAGTTTTGTAAAATCTTAAACTCATTTAACTTTGGTTTTCAGACATTAAGATTTATTTTTGGAGTTATACAAGCAATTGATGTTCATTGGGTGTTTAAAAACTACAAAGACAAGATTGTTTGTAACTAAATAATATTAATAATAAAAATGTAATTCAGACAAGTAGTTTTTCAAAACTATACTTATATTCTTATAAAAATAACAAATCAGTGTTGCTGTTCCAATGAGTTATTATAATATTTGGAAAAACTACATTTAGATATACAGGACTGAATGATTTAATCATAAATATCTTCACGATCGCACACATATTGCACAATATCTTTAGGTTTATGCAACTTTTCGGCATCTTCATCGGGTATTTCAAAACCTGTAATTTAAAAAAAATATAGAATTTATTGTGTAAAATGAAAATAATTTATATAAGTACCAAATTCATCTTCTATGGCCATGATAACTTCAACATGATCTAATGAATCTAATCCAAGATCATTGATAAAATGTGATTCAAGACTAAGCTGAAATTATTAAAACCAATCAATTTTAATACAAAATTATAATATCACATTTAAAATAGAAATAATTTTTTTTTTTCAACTAAGTACCTAGGTGAAATATGATAACAAGAATTTTAAGATGTATATATTTTTTGTATTAGATTGGTCACATTTCAATTGAATTCAAAAGTAATGGACTAAATATTTTCTTAAGTTATTCGCCTAGTAAAATGTCTCATTGTTGTCATAAAACTGTGCATACCTTATCTGGATTGACCTTGTCGTATAATTGTAATACCAATAAGATACGTTTTTTAATTTGTTCAATAGTCATCGGTGGCTTGACACTGTACTGCCGCACGACCGTCTGAAAATATAATGAAACAAAATGTATACAACTTGTCAACAGCGACTTTATCATACGAGTTGGCACACTTTCAGCACTCTAGTTTTTACTTCGATCGCAGACAATCGACTGGCTGCTGCCGCGTCTGAACACCAACAACCACTATCAGCACCAGCAATAACTTGTTAGTGGGTACCTCACACATATTCTAACAAACGAATACGTCTAGTTGCCGAGCTGAATTTCTAATATAAAAATCAAATCGTTCTTACCACCGGTACTCTGCATGTCTGAAGATTTAGGTTATTGACGTTTTTCGATTGACTTAAAAACCGTTTACCTTCGCACATCGGGTAGCGTCTCAGCGCCCGTAAACTGGTATTGGTGAAAAACGTACCACACAAGACTTTTCCAAAGGACGCCATCATATGTAATAGGCAGTGGCTATTCACAGGTCCAATGTAGAACTTCGATGTTCAAACTATCTATGTAACATTATTTTCACAATTTCACGTCCTGCCGGGCACCGGGTGCCGTTATCTTTTCTGTGCATCCTTCCCCCTGATTGGTCGTAATCGTGATTACAGATAAGAAATTATAAATAAAAGACCGAGATCACGATCGTCCGTAGCGAACTAGGATTGAGGATGTAGACTTATTATTATAGTTGTACCTTATACTATAAATGAACTTGATGAACCAAGGTTTAAGGATACTCATGATGTAAGTAGACAATCGTGGCATGAACCCACGATGATAATTATCAATTAGCCTATGTCCCGATAATTTAAACCGCATATTAGCGCGCCAAAATATTCGTTGCATGTTTATCCATGCGAATAGTCAATAGAAATGTGAGATGAAAATGAATCATTTAGCGACCGACGGATAAATATGTGATGGTTCACTGTTAGGATCTATTTCATTTTTAGTTAATTGTTGACACTGGCGACTTTTTGAGATGGGCAATATGACTCCGTTCATTGTAGTTTGATATTAAGATCTAATATAACCAAGTCTAGTACCATCTACCGACGTGATTCTTATATTTTTTTTTATGTGAGTGATGCTATAAATCTCGGGCCACGGCCTTAAAAGAAATCTTCTAAGACCGCGCTATAAATGATAATATTTAGCTGATATTTCACGTATTAATTCTTCCGCTGACTTAAGAGAAAAACTATGTATCATAAAGTAAAAAGTTATGCCCATAATTTGATGATTCATTTCAAATGATATTTAAATAAATTACAGTGGGTTCCGCTTAATGTGATCACTTTGGTGCGGGTCATTTTGATTCTATTAACCGGTTGATTCTATAAAACATTTACCATTTTTTCATGATTTTCAATATTTTCATACAATTACATATTTATTTATAATTACATATTTAAATATTTAATGTAACATACAGTGGCGCCCAGATAGGTTAGCAAGGGGTGCAACTGCATGTGCTCTCGTGGGGGGTGGGTGGGTGGGTAGGTATAGACGCCTATAGTTATAGGTACCTAAATAAAGTATAGGTTAACAGTTAGTAACAGTTCAAAAGAACGTTTTTTTAAATAAAAAAATGGGTGGGTAACTTTTGTTAGTTGCATAATATGTTACTTACAATACCTCTGTGCGCCACTGGTAACATACATAATAAATGACACAAGTACACGATTCAATTATCCAGTACTTAGTGATTCTAATGAAAGGTCAATTTAACATTAGTAACATAAAATTTGGTTTGGGATTTTCATTTTTGATTCAATAAGCCAGTGATCACATTAAGCGGAACTCACGGCATTAATTACATTTTAAATGTGTTATATATGTTAACTATATTAATTTACCATGTCCGAATTGCCCTTAAATCGATATACTTGAAAACTAAAACATACAGGGCCAGAATAGACACAATGGTTTTTATAGATCTTGAATGCTTTATGGTTTGGACCAACACATTTCTATGTATTAGGTGGATGTAAATGTATGTACCTATGTTATAAATTGTCTACTTGTCCGGTCTAGGTGCTTACCCTAACGACTATTATCGTTATTGTAATATTGTCGTTGTGGTATATTAAAGTAAACTGAACTTAATATACGGTATTCTATTTAGTGGTTATACATTGTATAGAATAAAAAAATATTAACCACAGACCTATATAAACTAGTTAATAAATAATATGGTACCTAGCTATATTGAGTGTTGAGTATTTCAGTTATCAGTATTGAATCAAAACACAAAAATACAAGAATAATAAATATGTACTTTTAATATTTTTTTTTGTTTTTACTGGCTATTATATTCCCTTTACCGTAATTATTAATATTGGAACTAAACACATTATTTTTTTATCTTGATTTATAAAATAGGACTATCTAAAACTATAGTGTTTTAATATATAGGAAAAAAAATGTTGTGTTTATAAATCATTCAAAGTATATGGTATTCACTAATTTCATTAAAACATAAATAAGCTACGATGAAGTCCCTTAAAAATAGAATATACAAATATTTAAACGATTGATTGCTTAAATACAAATTTGTTTAGTAGGAATTCGATAAGAAATTGTAGTTAAATTTATAGCAATCAAAATTAATGACTTACATTTAGTTTTAATGGTTGTTTTATTGTATATTTTATGTTAATATTGCTACATTAAGTTTCAGTTAGATACCTACCTACATCGTGTGTTATTGTTTAAGAAAATCTAACGAAAAATCAAAAAATAAATAAATACATTTTAACATATTCCAGACTAAATCATTTATTTCGAGGGATTTTAAGCAAAACATAACTCACAACATAACATTTTTATTTATTTATTCATACGACAAATCACTATTATCATTTATCGTAAATCATAATAGCATAAGATAGGAAATTATGTTGCCAGTTGACACCTCTGTATTATATATTATATCCTCATCATACCTTTGAATACTGGATACTGGCTAGTGCTATATTCAAATTTATAAAAGTTTGAAGTTTCAATTTCTTTTGTTTTATCCCCAGATATAAAACTCGGTCCTCGCTCTTCGCCAACTACAAATCTATGCTATTATTAGTATTATTAGTGATTTGTCATTGCGATTCGCAAACGGTGTTCATTATATGTTCACATAATATGAAACACAGAATAATCGCGAGGTGTATTGATGTCAATATGATCAATATTCAATGGTATTGCGTCTGCGGCGCGGCGCACATATAAAACGTGCTTATATTAGCACTAAGCAGTTCGCCTTATAATTATTGACTATACCTACTACGGTAAACGTCACACTTGTCTCACTGGTGATGGTTCCGAGACAACTCGATACCGCGGTGTAAGAAACACCATATACAAAATATGTCCTCTGGAACACATCAGCTGTGCATCAACCAGGACGGATGTGGAAATAGTCATTGCGTAGTGCTCAGCCTCAGGTACCTATATAAAAATGTGCCTATTTTTTTTTTTTTTTGAAGGCAACAAAATGTTTCTAAACATTAATTTTAACAGAAATAAGTAAGAACGTCGAGTATTAGTTGAAACGGTTCGATCAAATCCCGCCCACGATATTAATATACAGTAGAAACCGTTTATAATGACACCGGTTTTCGTGACATATTGGGCGTAATAAAGGTCCCGGGAAAACTCCTATATTGTATGTACTAATTTGTATCGATTATTATGACGTCTATATGATGACTATAATACGTCTATATACGGACGTTATGACGTTTATTTTTGGTTATACATTGGAAAAATAGCGAAATTTGTATGGCTCTGAATAACGCGAGTCCAAAGATAAATTTTGAAGAACTAGAAAAAAATAAAGCTTGATTTTTATTCAATTGTTTTTATCTTTACTTTTTTTTCTATATTTTACATTGTATAATTTGTACTTATTATTAAATTTTAAAGGAGAAAATCTTGAGGGATTTTTTTCTGTTCGCTCTTTATAGTGCTGCCCAATGTCCCCCCGCATCTCTTTATAGATTTCCGTGTAATGTAACTGCGTAAGGCTTATAGTATAAATTTATTTATTGGTATTATTTCACTATTTTAATCATATATTATTGTGATTTCGTGTATATCTTGCGGATATCTTAGGCGTTTTGGTATTTATTTTATTTAGTTTCTATATTAGGTATTTAGGTTCGCTTTAGTGACGGCTAGGCCGGCTGCAAGTATAAATGTCTAGGTAAATATTATTGGTACACATATTCTGTACACATCACACTCTTATTCGCATTTGACACATAATACATTGTTAGACGTATAAGACGTTACAGGTGGTTGATCTTCAACGCAAGTAATACAACTGAATAAATATTATTAGCAGTGCTGTGTATTTAATGCACTTAAAAACTATTAAATATGTATGCATATATGCACTAAAATCTGACAAAATATGCTCTAAAAATTCTTAAAATATGCAAAAAAAAACTACAAAAATTAAACTTTTATTTTTTTTTTTTTTCATTAGTATAATTTTTTTATTAATTTTAGTTTAAATATTAGTATTTTTACTTCTTGGTACAAGTATATGAGTTATTGATCTTAACTAGTCTTGGTCTTCGTCGTATACAAGATCTATAAAAGAAATACAATTAAATATAATTACAATTATATATTTTACCTTAAAAGTAGTTATTGCATTGAACAACCAATGATTTCTTCAGGTTTTCGAACTTGAGAGACCTCCTGTTTGGTGCCAACAAAGTTTTATATAAAGAAAAGGAACGTTCTACGTCTGACGAAGTTATTGGGGCAAACTTGAAATACGTTATATCGCTACTGGTTAAATCTTCTGGTATATCTAAATCTACGTAATTTTTTTCGCCAGTTAATATTTTTGAAATATTACACATAATTTGAAACCCTTTGTTTTTGTTGAGTACTGTTTGTAAAAATAGAATAATTTCGATAAAACCATAAAAATTATAGTTTATACTATAAGATTGACCGAAAAAATGTAAATATTACAAAAAAAAGCATTTAAACAAAAAAATTATTAAAACATGCATTTATATGCCCTAACCCATGGAATATGCAAAAATACGCAAAATAAAATTTGTTATTTGAACTAAAAATCAGTCAAAACAAATTTTGGCCGAATCCATTTTTTTTATAAAGTGTAGCAAAAAAAAACATGCAAATGCATTAAATTCACAGCCCTGATCATTATTATTATTAATACATAATACTTATTAATAATTAATAATTAACCTAACTAATAGTTTATTATTATACTTGTCTTATACTGTATGTATGTTGTGCATAAATGTATACGTGGAACTTCCATTAAATGTGACGCACGAGAATTCGTCGAACTATATGTCTATATGCTTACTTAAACTGTAGCTGTGGCATCCGTAATTTCGACTAGATAACTCAGATCACGTAAGAGTTGGTAAAATAATATTTTCATAAGGAGCTTTACGTATTATATTATATTATCACTACACGTTCAATGTGTTCCTCGCCGTAATGGCAGTGCCATTAATAAATAATATCTAATCTGTACTTCAGAGACGCGTGTACCTGCTTAAAATCGCTTCGTAGTCGAATGTTAACAATTATGTGTACTACAGATAATAATATAGTATATTGTACTGTCTATATGGCCTAGGTATAGACTATAAACAGGTTGAATATTATACATATCATTTTTTTTTTATAATATGTTATATCTTATATATGTATTATCTACATTAACATTTCCTGACTAATATCTATGATAAATTAATGATAGCTACCTATATTTTGATATTTTAAATGTTAAAATATGTTTTCCTTAGATACCTATTTACACCTTGTTTCTTAATTATATTGTACATATAATATTAAAAATAAAATCGATACCTACCATAACCATAGTGTATTATGATATATATTTTCTATAAATATTTAATTTCCTTAGTCTTGTAGTGTATTATTGCTGTCTCGGATACTAATTAATATTTATCATATAGTATACTTAGACAAAATGTATGTTTATAATAATTTATTTGTACTCACTTATTTTAAATATATATTTTACATGTGTACCATGCATATGCGATATTCCATCTATAAATGTTAATTCTCAATTTCTCAGTTATATTTGGATTTGCCGTGACAATTAATAAGTCACAGGGACAGAGCTTTGATAAAGTTGGATTATTTACTACATACTAAGAGATTATATATTTATGTCTCATCAATAATATAGCCATATAGGTGGCTACGTTGAATTTTCAGGATGTAAAATTCGTCGACGGGGAATCAGGATTGAGTCCAAATACAATTGAAAATCTTGATTGTGATGAGGCATCACAGAGATGTGTTGTATTATATTTTGTTTAAAATATTAATTATAATAATTTATAGTGTTGTATAATTGTCCATACAATTTGTATACTAGAATCATAAACTTTCAGTTAGCAAAAAAAAAGATCGAAGGAAGAAAACGAAGCGAACAGAGGGCGGAGCCCCCTAGTATTAAATAATATTATCGTGTATATCACTTTTTGACCATTAGAAATGACTGTCTAAAATATTCACCGAATTTATAGGTCATGGTGACACAGCTGATATCACGTGAATTTGTTAAGCAGTAAAATGTATTCAGTTCATTTAAACATTTTAAATAGAAAACCACTTGAGTGTTTATCATACATCACATTATATATAGGTACTATTATATACGTAGGTGTTAGCCTAATACCTAATGGTACTAAATGCAATTATCGGTACCTACTGGAGCTTCGGAGCATAGTATATTAATTATTATGATGTACACGTTTAAACGCTCAATAGTTAATATATACCGTATACATATTTTCAGGTATTCTAGCCGTTAGGTAGGCACACCGACACCGAGCACGTTTGTAAGTATACATAATATTCCCTATGACGTGTGTTTAGCCATATACTATTCATGTTCAATTAAACAAACATTGCTGGTACGGTGAATTCGTTTTTACAACTAACACAGTTAAATAGGTAATAGTGTCTAGATTATTTGTGAAATTATTACAAAACCACACCGCGTGTCACCGTCTCATCCCCCTCCCCAACCGACTGTTACAAGAGGATAAACTATAAGGTACCTATGTCCTATATTATTTAATTTTTATACATTTATATAATACTACTATATTTATATATATATATATGCAGGTATTTAGTAGAAGGTTATGGCCGTTCCAGACCACTGCGCTGAGACAGTGACCTTTCATTATTATCATATTTTATTTCGTACACACCTATATGTATACAAAACGAATGTAGAACGCGTATAGTAAAATAACATAACTCTATTAGAACACAATAATATTTTAGGTTCACAGTACACACACTGCACACGTACACCACTTATTGTAATATAGGTACCTACTGTAAAGCAGCAGTCAACTGTATAGACAAGCACAATCGCATTATGTTTTATCCATCGCGAATCTGAATTTTATATTTAATTATCGTTCTTGCGGCAAAAAATAATATTGGTATAACTACAGCATTATTGTTATCTTTCACTTCGCGACCTTGACATATAACCGTCGAATCGAGTGACATTATTAGAAAATTAAGGTTCATATTTTTATGTATAAACATAAATAATAAATTACGAACATAATATTACCATGTTAATATATGTACTATAAATATATTAAATTACACATAGCGGCGCTTTTATTACAGAGTTTTTTTATGCGTATATAGATAATGACCCGTTGGGATCAAATTCGTATCCAGACGTTTGGTACCTATTTATATACTCGGCAAAAACGAAAATTTCCCGAAATCATCAAGGTGGACATAAACTTAGTGTAACACTAAAAAAGTATAATATAAAATAATATGTATAGATAAGACCTATAAGACGATAATACAATGTTGAATTTTTTAAGGAATATTTTCAGTATTGAAACTCGGGAGTTGTGTTATGTACAGATATTCGAGACGAATTTTTTTTATTTTTGGAGGGGGGGGGGGCAAGTCTTCGCTGGAGTAGCAACGACTCCTTCCTATCTTCAATAATGTGTTCAATACAGGTTCACTATAGATGTGTCATGTGTACCTGTATTAAAACACTATAAAATGTATGTTATACATGTTTATACTATGTGGATATAGGCATGATGCACGTCCGGTTTGTCCCGCTCGTGGAGTCTGGAATCCGGATATTAGAGAGTTTTTGCACGACCATTTTTGGAGGAAAAAAAAACAATAACAACGTCGACTGTGGGCCGGATGACGCCACCAAATAATATTATATTTTAATAACGTGGACACATAGTACACTTACTCGTTCCGCACGTGATAATAATATTTTATTGACTTATGAGTAATGATGGTTATTGGCCACACTATATTATGCACCTTATTATTCAATTATTGTCATCGCGATCGTATATGGGTAGTGGGCACTGGGTAGGCATACCTAATAAAAACCTATTGGTGTATTCGTTTTCACGACACTGTGTCACGATACCGTCTATACTATGGAATGATTCAGAACGCATTTTAAAGTTTTGACGCTACTCCCAATCCCTATTACCCTTCATAAATTTAAGGGTGCTATGAAAATATTGGTAAATTCCTAAAACGTTTCCCCCTCCTCCCACGCGGCGATGGTACTTCCTCGCCGGCCTTAAATACGTACTCTTCGTCGCCGGCGTCACTCGTCGGTCTTACTTTCACAGTTTTAATCCATTTTCAAGTTTCGCCGTGAATATAGTAGTCCATATTACTATATTAGACCCACGCGGTGATCTAGAAGCCGCCCGTACACCAGCCACTGTACCTACCTAAATTGATAACCGCCGCGGTTATACACACGGACGATAAGCATAACAACCGCGATTACGGCACCGAACAGGTCACAATGGTCACATACCTCTTAACTGGGTGTCTGGGTGTCTGTAGCTAAACGGATCAAAATATAATGCTCCGTGAAAGTCACCCCCCCCCCTCCAAAGCGAGGCGCTTAACACCCGCGGTCGACCTTTCGCCGTCGTAATGCCGTAGACTCAACTATTACGTATAAACTCGTATAACTCATGCCTCATGCGCAAGTATTTATTTTTTTATTTAATTTAAATGCATTGGGCCCCACTGAAATACCCGTAAGGTACCTTAATACCAATAATACCTCATACGTGGTCGGTGCGATCATAATATTCTATTACACATAATATACCTGTACCCAATAAATACGACCTGACAGTGTCGGGCTGACACCTGTACATTGTTCGCAGCAGTAACTCGGCGGGCGTCCCGTTCGTTCTAATTTGTAATGACGACTCTCAAAAATTGGTATAATATCATATTAATTATTAACCGATATATTATAGGTACCTCCACGCATGATACGTCTATCATGCCTCCACGCATACGTAATGACGATAATAATAATATGTGACGGCATGCATTAATATTTGAACAGTGAACACGGTGCTTTAATAGTATAGCTTGAAAGTCCTATCGGATTAGTGCCGCACTGCCACCTACGACATCATTCGATTTTTAAAGGTAAAAATCGCGAGGGATTTTTTTTTCGTCGGCTCCTCGACGGTGGCGCTCCCCAGTGTCGGCGGCGGCGTCACGCGCTACGACAACACAACAATAATAAGAACTATCACATATTTTTTTTTATACGCGTTCATTATTGCTGAAGTAGTTGATATTAGAGGCGAGGAACGCGCACAATGCCAATAGCTTAATAATACAGTGATCGCTGATTACGACGGCGACCTGCGAGTGAGCCGAGTTGTTGTTCCGATAGTGTTCCGAGGACCGTCTTTTGTATTTGTACGTCCTCTCTCCACCACCGCCGCAGCCGCCGCCCAGAGTCTGGCGACTCGTGCCGTACAGGTAGGCACTGACGTCGTGGCCCACCCGTTGCAGCGATATTAAATCATCGACCGCCGTCCAACTCGATAGCCCAGAAAGGTCCGCGAGAGGATTTTTCAACGGCTCCGATTAGAACATCGTCGTCGTCACCGCCGCCGCCCGCTCTTCATTTCTCGTCGTCGTCGTCGTCGTCGTCGTTAGTGTCGTCGCGCTACTGGTTTTTAATTGATAAAAATATTATATTATTATTATTGTTACAACACTAACGCTGTACACGACGCCCTCTCCGCCATCGCCGCAGTAAACACCTTCGCGTGTGTCACGTACGGTGTCAACAATTATAATTCAACGACTGCTATGTGTTGTCGTTAGACGCGAATAGTGATAGTTGGCAGCGGATGAAGTATTTTTGTTTATTTGTTTCCTCTCCCAAATAGTCGATCTGTGCAGGCACAACAGCGTCGTCACTCGCCGTAAAAACAATATGTGGAAAGTACGAGAACTCGCCGATAAAGTGTGAGTATTGAACACCATTTACAACCTCCCGAGATCCGTCCCATCCACTGATGGCCATCCGCTGTAGTAATGATCATTCAAATTTGAAATAATGTGTGCGTTGTATATTTACAGGACCAACGTAGTCCTCAACTATACAGAAATTGAAGCTAAAGTCAGAGAAGCCACCAACGATGAGGCTTGGGGTCCAACAGGTAAAATACTTTTTCATTGTACATTTTGTTTCATCGTGCATTTTTTAATGTCACTTATTATTTAGTATCTAAAACTAATAACTATAGTTTAATAATTTCATTCACTTATTTCACTTTTCATTCAGTATGAATCAATTTTTATGGATACTAAATAATAATGAACTTAAGGTTCTGTTTTTTTTTTAAAAATTGTTTATATTAATAAAATCAATTTAGTAAAATATACTCAGCATCTCAGTTTGAATCTGATGTTTAAGCTGGATTTAATTTTAAAATTACCTGATAACCAATACTGTAATTTTTGTTTTACTATCTTGTGTATTTGGTGATTGGTCTTATCTCTGTATTTTCAATTTGTAGGTAACCTTATGCAAGAAGTAGCACAAGCAACATTTATGTTTGAGCATTTCCCTGAAGTCATGGGAATGCTATGGAAACGAATGTTACATGAAAACAAGAAAAACTGGCGAAGAACTTATAAAGTGAGTTATTAAATAATCACTTTTTATGGATGTATTAAAATGAATGAGATGGCCAAGTACCTAAAACATTTATATATTGTGAATAATACTTTTGCATATTTTTTTACTATTCATTTATCATAATATTGAACTTAGTGATTTTTATTGCAATTAAATTAGTTTATGTTATTAACTTTTTAATTAGTTATAACATAATCACATTATTTAACCTCATTTTTAACTTCATTATCAAAAAACCTCATTATTAAATTCATTATGCATGTTCAATATAATTATCTATGATTGTTTTTATATAATTGTACTATATGTACAGAGTATAGTTAAAATCATGTATAACAGTGATCTTATAATTAATATGGAACAACTTCAATTTTTATTATGTTCATATCCAATTTAAGTCATTAAGTAATTTTTAAAATATAATAATTTATAATTTATAAATAATTAAATATTCTATACTATTTTTTTTCAGAGTCTATTATTATTAAATTATTTAGTTAAAAACGGATCTGAAAGAGTGGTTACGTCAGCACGTGAACATATTTATGATTTAAGAGGATTAGAAAACTATTCTTTTGTTGATGAATTTGGTAAAGACCAAGGAATCAATATAAGGTATAATTGTTGTCTTATGATTTAAATTACTTAAACAAAATTAGATTTAAATATATTGCAAAAAATTATTTTTAGGCATAAAGTCAGGGAGCTGATTGATTTTGTACAAGATGATGATAAGTTGAGAGAAGAAAGGAAAAAAGCTAAAAAAAACAAAGACAAATATATTGGATTATCCAGTGAAGCCATGGGCTACAAAGGAGCAGGTAATGTGATATTTGATCAGTTTTTAACTAATTTTAACAGTGATTATTTTACAAATTAGGAGGTGAGAAGTGGGACGATGCACCTAGGTGGAAAAAGGACAGTAATAATGAATTTAGTGACAAAAAAAGTAGTAGTACACTAGGTTTTGAAGAATCACCTAATAACAGGTAAATTTATATCTATTTAAATATATTCATATAGAGATGGGTTAGGTTTATGCAGTTAAAATTTGCGTTAAGAAGGAACCTCGGCACAACCAAACCGGTTTTGGTCGGGTGTTGGTCAAGTTGTCTGCCCCTCAACCTAGGGACAATCATCTTTATTACGGCTGTGATGTAGGAAAGACCCACCCCTCGTTAAAGGTTCGAGGTTCCTCATTAACCTGAATACTGTAAGGTATCTATATAAATTGTTAAATTATAATATTTTGGTAACTGATAAATTTTTATTTAACAATAGTTAACTTATGCATATTTGTGTAATGTTTTTATAGTGATGAAAATGATATAGTGGATTCAGAACCAGAACTTGATTTGCCACATAAACCTTCTGCAGAAGCATATAAAGACCGTAGTATGTCACCTACCAAAATTCTAAGTCCTGCTAAACATAGAACACCTATTAAACGCATCGATTTGGGTGCAGCAGCACATTATGGCAAGACACAATCTGTGATCAACTCTCCAGTATCTACCAATATTCCTTTAGATACAGAGACCAGCTCTGTTGATTTGTTGAATATTGTAGGCAACAGCAATAATCAATCAAATGATTTTGGAGATTTTAACGCAGTTTTTAGTGCTGCTCCTAATACTGACATTGTAGTAGAAAATAATAGGTAATTTTATATTTGTAAATTGCGCTTGGAAATATTATCATTTAAGTAGTATCACATCATCATTAACAATTGTAATTGAAAAAAAATAGTTTTTGACTTCGTGAAAGTATAATAACAATTGTTATTTGTATCCTTCTTAAATTATTCTGAGATAACTAAAATAGATTATGCAAATACATATTACTAAGTACTTCAAGCATTTCAATTCTGTTTTATAAAATAATTTTCATAAAATTAAAATTGTCTTCCTTGTTTCAGTACCAATAATGATGAATTCGCTGATTTTAGTTCAGCATTTACTCAGTCTATGTCTTTAAACAGCAACTCAACTATTTTAGGTAAGTTTTTTCCTATTGTTCAATATCTGTTGAATAAAATGAAAAACTTATGTTTTTTTTAGCTAACCAAAAAATTATTTCTAATTCTGATCTCCTAACATCGTTACCACAGTCATCTACAAATGGAACAAGTCGTAACTTGTTAGATTTGAACTTTGACGCTTTAGATAACACAGGTAATATGTCTATAATTTATTATCATTAACAGAAGTATTATTAGCTACCTATTTCAATTAATTAATTATATTAGAAAATTTGATTGCATTTTATAATTTTAGTAGAAGTTGGTTTCTCTTATAATTTATACAGATAAGGTTAGAAAACTGGATTTTTTTATTATAACTTTTCAGCAACTGGAGTGATGTTGAAGACACTTCTAGAATCCATTCACCAACGTTCAGATTCAAATATTAAAAGATTTTTTCAAGAATTTACTGAATATTTGCCAGGTCCAATGACTCCACAAAAATTTACAAAACTTGATTGTTACCCAAACTATTCTCAAGTTATCAAAGTATACAGCCAAGTACTTGAAATAATTTTAGAACAAACAAATTTTGTTGATTATATTGATTTGATTTCACCAATATTTGCCCCAGACGGCGGTACTTTAGAAATGCTTGACATATCGCTACATGTTTTACTAAACTATGTCACTTCTAATGCATTATCTCTTAGAACTGATTATGCCATTGAATTAATCAGCTTAATAATAACAAGCGATTTAATAAAATCATCATTGATTATTGAAACTTTAAGTTCTAACCATAATCGTTTTATGGTAGTTATTGAATTTTTATTGTCATTACCACATAGACTAGCTAACAAAGTTGGGAAGAATATACCTAAATTGTTTACGCCTGTAGAGTTTTCTAACAGAATAATGAATCATATATTGTTTGTCATTGACCAGTTAAGCCAATTTTATGCTTTAGAAAACAAGAAGCCCAATACAAAACCACTTTCAATAGTGTTAGGCAAAACTATTGCTTCTTATCTTCAAAATGATTTTTCTACTTCTTTGAAAATATTAGAATGTTGGTGTTTAGATGATAACTATGCAGTTGTTATTAGAAGTATTCTTTCAGAAGTTGACCGACGAGCAATTGATAGACTTGGTTATTTGTTTTGTCGTAAATTATCAACATCTGATTCGTTACATAGTCTTATTGGAAATGCAGTAAATGATGTGCCCAACTGGAATTACACTTTTTGCAAAAAAATGATATTTCTTACTTATCACGAAGATGACAATATAGCATTAAATCTGATGAATTACTTATACTTTGTTCAAAAAGATTCTAATTCTAATATATTAAGTACTATAATCTTAGAACTTGTTCAAATTTGGGGAGATAAAAGTGCTTTGATTCATACACCTTTTGAACAACATTACTACTTATCAAAACTTATTATTATTGGTTCAGTATGTTTATCAAATTTAACATTGGATGATGAGTTTAAAAGAGATGTTGAAATTAAACTCTTTGAAGGTGTTCCAATTCATCTGGAGAGTTCAGAAGAAAAAGTTCGAACTATAGGAATGATAGTAGCAGAGATTATTATTGGTATTGTAAAGCGCAATCAAAAAGAAGGAGCACCTACTTTAAATTTTGAGTATGACAAATTACAGGATGAATCCAAATTGATAGTAAAATCTCTGAACGAATTAAAAAATTGTAAAAGTCGTAATGAATTAGTATTTAACGATGCTTTTAAAATGTTAAATAACTTTTTTGAAGATTCAGATATTATCATAACTAGATGTACTAACACAATAACTACATTTCATAACAAGGCAGTGAAAAAGACAGAAAATACAAATGAAAATATTTTAGATAGTGATGATGATGAATTTGACCCTTATGATTTATCAAATGATGTTGAAATGGATGTCAAAAATAGACCCAAGTACATACGTGATCTTATTGATGGTTTCAATGAACAAAAAGATTGTAAGGTGTGGCTGGGCTGTTTAGAAGCATCCGAAAGTCTTATTAAATCACAGCTACCTAATGATGATGTTTCATTTGCTATTGAGCTGTTGACATTATTGATCGGTATGGATCAACAATTTTACATGGAGAATTTTGAAAGCCTTAGGTATCAATCTGCTGTTGCTGTAGTGATAGTTTTTCCTTACGATTGTGCCAAACACCTTTGTCATCTTTTTTATGAATCTATTGGCAAATATGCTGTTTCTCATCGCATTTTAATCCTAAATGTATTGACTGGTTCTGCAAAAGAATTATCAGGCTTTCAAAAGGTTGAAGAGAAACAAGAAGAACCAATTGCCGAAGTGAATACTTCAAAGTATTGGGAAGATGTTATCAAAAAAAGAGTTCAGCTAAAGACCAGAATAATTTCCAATCCTAGAAAACCTATAAAATCTCAAAGTAATCGTTTTGTATCCGTAGCTGATGCATTTTTCTTCCCTCTCATTCGTGGAAATTTAATTGAACCAATCGTTTCCCAACAAATTGACAATACTAAACAGTTGGACATTCTTGGAGTACATCTATTAAATTCATTATCAGTTATACTATGCTGTGCGATTAATTCTACCCATGCAACTCGTATGGGTGTAGAGCTTTTAGAATGGACTTGGTCATTAAGATTTCACAAAGATGTAAAAATAAGAATCGCGGTGATGGGTTGCCTAGCTGCCGTTTTGTTGTCTGTGCCTAAATCTAGATTAGTTGACTTGGGAAGCTCATTAGTTGAATTTGTAATGTGGTTGGAAAATGTTGTCACGTCTGAAGGAGTAATGAATAAAGTCGATAATGAAGTAAATCAAGAAGCAAGAAAATTTGCTGTTCAAGTTCTGTTACTTTATAGAAATGTTGTTGGTGATCAAAATATGTTTTCATAATGATATTAATATTTCAATTCCATTAAAATGATGTGCATTCCAATTAAGGAAAAATATTATGTTTGTTTTTAATTTAATATGAATTAAAATTGATAGTTTCTTTTATATCTAATTTTGCATTATTTATTTATTTTTATATCCCCTTGTATAATTTTGTGTATAAACAAAACCTTTACAATTTCCAGGGTCTTCCTTGCCATTGAATCAAATGATTCAACCGGTAACATTTGCTCAGAATAGTAACATAGAAAATCAATCTTCTGGAAACTTAAATAAATTACAGGTAATTAGAAATATATTAAATTAACTAATACAACTTAGAGATGGCGTCTTTAACATTTTTTTTTGATAATATTATTAATTAAATATTTTTTTTAATGGAATTCTATTCTTATTTGTTTGATTAATGTTTATTCAAGTATAATGAAAACAAATATTCTCCCTAGATTTTAAGGTCTGGTATCCTAAATAAATTAATCATGTATTTCATGACAATTTTTATTTTGTAGCTGGGCAGCACATGGAGTGGAGTAAAGGGCCTAAATATAGACTTGGACAATTTATTATCACCAGGTAGTAAATCGCCAAATTCAATTTCAATGTCTATGAACCAAATGGCTAATAACAACAATAGTCTTGGTAAATACAACTAACATACTTTCAATTACATTTGATGAAATACTATTCAGTTAAAACTTTGAGTTAAATTTATGTTAAAATGAATTGCGTGGTAAAAATGTATAAATCATAGACAAATTATTGTTTTGAAAATCAGTACAATTTTTTTAATATTTCATCAATGAACTTTGGCAAATAATTATCGGTGATTATTTTGATTAGTATGTTATTTGTTTAATTTATTATTTATTTTAGGAGGAAAACAAAATGCCTTTTTTGATTCTAACGATGTACTAATGCCTACTCAACAAGCATTCTCTGCTAGCTTCAAGTGATATTTATTATACTGACCTAAAAGTTACAATATTATTGTTAATTGTGCAAGAAATGATTTCAAAAACTTGTGGGAAAGTGTTTCCTATTTATATATATTTTTCTTTAAAGGTTGTGGGACTCTTATTAAACAAACTAAGATCATAGAATAGTGATGTAATTATATCACCAAAAATTAATAACCATATAATGAATGAAAAATGATCTAATTCTACCAAATTATGATTGTGGTTCATTTCTAAAAAATCTGGAAAGTTGTTACATCATTTTAAATGATCCTTTTATACTTCTTCTTTGCATAAAAATATATTTTAATAAGCTCAAATATGAATATTAATATGATATTCATTAATGTGTTTCATTTAAAATACTAAATGTCCATACGTTTTCAATGTTTTTTATTTTTACTCGCATATATATATATACCTATTGGAGTTAAAAATATGGGTTCTCAGTACTCTATGTGTTAATTTTCATATTTAATAATAATTAAAGTACCTAATATTTGGTTTTAATGTACATAATATACATAAAATGAAAAACTCATCATTAACATCAGATAATATTTTAATAACATATCACATCAACATGTACTTGTCAATGGTCATATCATTTGTTGTTTGTTTGTTTGTTTTTTCTGAAGCCAAATCTGTACCTGATTTAATGACAAACATTTGAATTTGAGTTTGGTGCTTATATTTTGGGACAAGTCAACCTTATAAATGTTTCTTGCATGGCTCAAATGAACCATATCCAACAGTATTTCTTTCTTAACCACAATATTATTTGTTGCAATTTGTTAATTTTTGGATTATTTGAATACAATTAATTTTAAATACCTATTATTATTTACAATTTTATTAAGTTTATGTACCTAATCTATGTTTTATTTTAGTTATTTGTTAATTTTAATTTGATTCCAATATTATTTCCTTTCAAATTTTAATTAGAATATTAATATTTACGTATTGTGTTATTAATAAAAATATTTTGTTGATTACAATGTCGTTTTAACTTCTACTGAATACACTTTACTTTGTGTTTCACATTTTCTTGTTTAGTTTAATAGGTATTCGGCACCTCATCTCCGATGAATGAATAAAATACAATATCTACTGTAAAAAGTTTAAAAAGAACGTCACAACTCTTCTTGGAGTCAAGTTTCTAATATTTTGTAAATTGTTCAACGTATTTTAGTGTATTAGCTAGAAACCGGGATTATATGCATTTTCATATTGATATTGAGTGTACGCGCAACTTAGAGGGGTCAAAATGGCGTTTCGAATCAAGTTGATTTCATAAGCAAAATGTTATTTTGCATATTTGAGGAGTTAAAAAGACGCTACATCTGTATGTGTTGTATCTGTCTTACAAATGTAAAATTGCTCTTATTAGTACGATGAACTAGTCGAGAGAAAGTTGCCACTTAGCAAAGATATTAAGCCCTATGCTCTCGTTTATGAGTAGAAATTAAAATGTTTTCAGTTTTGATTAATTTTTTTTACAACGAACGATAATACATTTTTTTTATATAATAGCCTTACTGACAGAGCATCCAGCAACTTATAATTAAGTTTTATTAAACCTTCTAAGGTTCTTTTCTTAAAATTATTCTTAGCGTGTATATATTTTGTTGTAGAGTGTTTATATACGCGTCTTTAGCGCCACCCCAAACCAGAAGACCATGTTGGACAATTGCTTGATAAAAAGCAAAACAAGTATTACGTAACCTCTGAATTGATAAGAGGTCTTAATGACCCAATTTATATATGGTTCAACTTAGCTAAATTATTAATATGTAGGCCCTATTTCAAGTTATTAAAAATTAAACCTGATTATAGTAATCCTTTTTTTCGTTTGCAAATTTGTAGATTACATTTCAAAATTGTTGTTACAATTATTTATTTCATAATTTTGATTTTGTCATAATTCATAGTTATGCATATTTCATTCAAATATTTGTATGTTAAATTTAGACCTTCCGTTGCTTTTATGCAAATACTTTCTCAGGAGATGTCTGTACATAATAGGCAAGTATCATCAGCATCTATCACTATTTTGCTACCACTTTTTAATTTAAATATCGCATTTATGTATTATATGAATAATATTGGACCTAGAACACTACTATGAGGAACAGCATATTGTATAACATTTACGTCACTTGCAGTGTCATTTAATTTTACTATTTGTTTCCCATCAGAAAGGTAGCTCTTAAACCAAATTAGACAGCGATTATTTATTCCGAAAATAGGTATAGAATTCTAAAAAGTGATGTATGGAGTCAAAAGACTTTGCTAAATCTAGGTTAGAGACATCAACTTTTTTAAGGAAAAATTGTCGAAATATTGCATATCAATTATATCAGATATAATTTTTTTTTCACTTTTAAATTATTGTTTATGTTTCTCGAGAATTTATCAGCCTGAATTTTACCGACTTTTAAGAAATAATTATTTAATTAATTTGACGCCCCTAATGGATCTGATGTATGTACCTAGTGTACACTGTACTGTCATTAACTTTTTATACTTCAATTTTATTTTCGTTTTTGTAGATGCGTACCTGTCACTTCATTCATTAATCTCCAGGTTAACTTAAAATTATACGACACTGTCTAAAATTTTTTTTTCATAAAATTTGATTTTGGTAAGCCTTAATAAGTATTTTGTAAAATTATTCTTAAACTTTTTATAGTCTTTTTTTTTTTTACTTTTTTTTATAGTTTTTAACTTTTTAAGTCGCAAGTTTAGTATTATTTGGATGATTTTTACATTTTAGAGAAATAAATTGTCGACGACGTAAAGGACATAACAAGTCTTTTGAAAAGAATAGATGTCATATAATCTTAATTTAACCTGGAGATTAATCAATAAACTGATAGGTACTATCTACAAAAACGAAGATAAAATTGAAGTATTAAAAGTTAATGACAGTACAATATATACATCAGATCCATTAGGGGCGTCAAATTTACTAAATAATTATTTCATAAACGTCGGTAAAATTCAGGCTGATAAAATCTCGAGAAACATATTAAACAAAAAAAAAAGGATTATTTAAAAGTAAATAAAAAATTCGATATTACATTCAATATTTCGATGAGTTTTTCTTACAAAAAATTGATGTCTCAGAGTTACTATATTAATTATAATTTATAAACAACTGTAGATATGACACTCTGCGGAATATGATAATATGCTAACGGTTAAAATATTAAAAAATATTAAGAAAAAAAATACCATATGTAGGATTATTAACGCTTAATCAATAATATTTATTTATATGTATATTATACGTTTTTAACCAGTACACATTAAACATTAATAATGTGTTAGCGAACAAACACGCTGGATATCCATTATAATTTGATATGTGTGCACAAGAACTTCTTTTTAAAAACCTTTTAAATCTAACTAGAAATTAAGAATAATTCTATATGTAGAAGTACTACAAGCCTTCAAAAATTTAGCTCGTAATTTAATTATAATGCAATAATAATTTAGTAGGGCCGCTACAAAAATGTTGAGGCTATTAGGTACTTAACTAGTAATTGATTCGTTATTTTAGGAAATTAACAACTCATAATTTTTTTAAGAATTAAAAAGTTTTGAAACTGTTTTGATACAATTATAATTGAAGTGCATGTACCTACGTACAGCAATTGACTATATATTATCAATTATATATTAATATGCACGTTTCACTAGCTAGGAATGGGTTTTTTTTATGAAATTTAATGTTTTTAATTAAAATTAAAATAATGTAAAGTATAATATATTTATATAACAGCAGCAAAAAAAATTTTTTTAGAATATTTAAGCTTTTAATTTAATTATAAATAAATAATGATTTGAAGGCATCACCAAATAAAAATTTTTTAAGATTTTTAAATCTTATAAACTAACTTTTAATTATTAACAATGAAATAAATAAATATATATATTACCAGCACCAAATACTACTGCATTTATTGACTCACTAGTATCAATTCTATAAGCTATGTTTTGCCTATTACTTACATTTGTCCATTTCTACCATGTGAGTGTAAAGGTCTAACAGCCTACTCGAATATGCCATTTCATTATCATACCATGCGCCTATTGTCACAAATTTGTCGCCGATGATTGACACTTGATTAAAATCAACTATGGCCGAACATTGACTGCCTACGAAATCGGAGCTTACGAGGTTTTCTGTATCTTCGATGTAGGATACAACGCTATTTTCAACTGTATCCGCATTTTTCCAGATTGCACACTTGATATTCTCTAATGTCACCGGATTTTTAACACTGTTAATACAAACATTTTTTAATAAACAAAAAAATCAATTCCTAAATGTTCGTTGTTTACATAATATGCACCTAACCCTCAGTAGGATGTTAAGAATTAATTAATAATAATTAATAATTATTTATTTCTATAATTTGCGACGCATTGTGGCAATTACATATATAGGCAGAAAATTCTTAACTCTTTTCTATTTTAATTTTAATACTGCATTATTATTTATTCCTACACACTTTAGTGCGTTTACCTATCTTTTTCATTATATAATGCTAGGGCCGTGGCTATAGGCACTAGCAAGGGGGCATTTGCCAGGGGCACAATTATATGAAAGGCATTCTCAATTAAAATATGATAATTTACAAAAATAAAAATCCATCGTTTATTTTTAGAGTAATCACAACATACTCCTTGTCACACAATCGCATATTGGAAACCGTACTTTGACATATCATATGTATATTATTATATACATCGACGTATTGTATTGTAATGTTGATATCACATGACTAATAACAATATAGTTATTTAAACAAAAAACGATATCTATTCTGCTATCTGTAAATATGCAAATAGTTGGCCAAAATTCGATGTAAAATAATATAAGATATAAATAAAATAAATATATCAAAAAATAAAAATGTTTTGTGTATTACCCAAAACGTAAGAAAATTTAAAACTTATAGAGGTTACAAATAAATAATACGATTAAAATTTTTCACTTTTACAAACATACAAATTGAATTTTCTTTTTCTTTTTATCGACTTTTATCAGTTATATTGCGATATCAACACCACCCCTCAGAACATGATCTACTGGTTACAAAAATACCATCATTGGTTGATCATACTTGCTCTTTTTTTTTGTTGCGAGCAAAGCCTTATTTACGAGCAATATTGTATTAAATTATACTTATTTATTATTATTATTATTATTATTTTATGGCTTTAATTCCACAAAATATTACACATAATGAAATCCAAGAATATATGTGTATTTATATTTATTTGAATAATTGAAAATTAAAAATAAATAACCAATTGTAAAATATAAATCGTTTTACATTGATTTATATTTAAGTTAAATAAAAATTTTAATTAAATAAATAAATAGATAACGATAAAATATAAATATTTCATATTAATTTCTTTATTCTAGAAAGTTAAAATTATTCATTGAAGTTAAATTAAAAAAAAAAATTATTAATTAATATTAAATAATAAAATAATCATAAAATAAAATAAAATGATACATTGATTATTCAAAGCTTTTTTTTTTTAGTTTGTTAAATCAATTTTTGTAATTAATAATAAAATAAAAATATACTTGTGCTACAATCAACAGAGCGTTTTTATTTGAAATAATGAGCATTTTACGGCGGTAGAAAAAAAATTGGATGCGGGGGGAGGGGGAATTTATGCTACTGTATTGCAGCACATATGATATAATATAAAAATATAATTTATATAGAAATACGTTACGTTATGTAGAGTTTCAGCAGTGACACGTCCAGTGTGGGCACTCTTATAGAATCACCGGTTACTTTTCCTTTTAATTCCGGAATGACTATTCCCACGGCTTTCGCAGCGCCTGTCGTGCTGTGTACAATATTTCCTGGAGCTGACCTCTGAAATACGAAATCATAACCATTACCAATAAACCGTGGTTGGTAGTGGTGCAGGGCGTTTATCATTTTTGATAAGTGGGTGTAATACATTTTTGTTTTGTATAATTCAAGCGTGACGACAAAATGGGCTTTAAATACACAATATAGGTATACCACTGACCACAACATTCGAATATTTTAAAAATCCACAAAAATACATATCATAATTGATAACTTATCGTCTCCCAAAAAAACAGCTTCTTACTTGTTTCACTCCGTCCAGGATCTGCTGGGAGGAGGTCATTGCGTGAACCGTTGTCAGTAGACAGTATTCCACTCCAAATTGATTGTTGATGATGTGCATCAAAGGCGCAGCGCAATTGGTTGTACACGAGGCGTTCGACACCACAGTCATTTTATTGTTATACTTGTCGAAGTTCACGCCCTTTACAAACATCGGCGCGTCTTTGCTCGGAGCACTGATAATAACTTTTTTGACACCCGTCGCCATGTGTTTCTAAAAAAGTTTGTCGTTATATCGTCACCACTACATTATATCCTTGTTAAGTCATAACCTATTGAGAAAGCTCGGTTATAAATTATATAATATTATTGTGATACGTACGCTTTAGCAGGTAACAGCTACAAAAACAATATAATATTTTTTTTAAGGGAAGGTATAAGAAATAGCTTTTACCTGGGCAGTTTTGACTTCTGTGAATCTTCCGGTTGACTCTATCACGTAATCAACAGGCAACTCTTTCCATTTGATGTTTTCTGGGTTCGCTTCCTTATATACACGTACGATTTTGCCTGTAGCGGCCATCACGTGTAAAAAAAACATATCGGCGGATACCATTATATCCACATTTGATTTATAATCGAGACAATATTTTACAATGTTACGGTAGAATGTATTAGGATTTATGATGAACAATTTAATTTCAATTTATGGCAAAATTATACAAAGATTTTGCTCGATACAGTTATATTACAATGTATATATAGTAAATATATAATAAAAACTATCAACGTTGATTATTTTTTATACTTAATTTTCAAACCTAAAAAAAATCAGCTTTGAATGAACGCAGAACAAAATGTGGAAGGTAGAAACCTCGAACGCAATACCTACAGTTTTTAAAATTCAGAAATTTTGAAAAGTTTGAAAGTTTACGCTTGGATTTCTTCTTTGAATTCAAGATAACAGTTATTACCGCTGACATATAGGTATTATAGTTTTGTCCGTTCTTTATTTTTTATAAATGTAATTTTCACTAGCGTATCTTACAATATGATTTATAGAGTAAATACACAAATCTTATCCTTATAATTATTATTATTGTTATTACCGTTGATGTTCAGACAGTCTCCCTTTACACTGACGCACCCAGGAAACATTCCATGTATAGAGTCGTATTTGAACGAATGGGCAATCGCTTCTGCGTTGGCACTCGGCTCATTGATGGCGACCACCTGCGGACGAAGGATTTAAACAAATTTATTAAGAACAAACGTTCGACGGCCAGAGGAATACAAGTCGAAAGATTTCCGACATATGGTATTACTTAGTACTTACATTCACGTTTTTCTGAATAGCCAACCGGAGCACGCATTTACCTATCCGGCCGAAACCGTTAATAGCGACAGGCGGAAGAATGGTGCAGCACTGTTCTCTGGTGGAGACTCCCCGTAACTTAATACCCGAACCGTTGATGTTGTCCACAGGCAGTTGACAAAGAAGCTATATGGGAGAGGATTTAAATCAGTTATACAGACGTTGGCCAGCCAGCCGAATATAGGTCGACCGACGTGGTATGACTTACGTTGGTACGGCTGGCGAACGGTCGCACGCATTTGCCTTTCCAGGAAAATGTGTTAGGTGTCACCGATGACAAGTTTCCACGGCCCAGTGTTGTTTTCACACTACTCAATTCTGAGGAGATCAGTTGCAAACCGTTTTTAATCATAGTATTCGTATAATGGAAACTTCAATTAATATTTAAAAACTTTTTATTTTTTGCTTTGACGACAACTATTTAAGAGCGAAACTAAAATAAAAAATATGATTTATATGGGTAGCTTAAAGACTGAATTTGTTGATAAACAAATATCATCGGTATATTGTTTATTAATTATTTATTAAGCCATATAGTTTTTTTTTTACAGTATCTTTGATGATGCCCCATACTATATAACTACAAATAACGGCGCGGAATGCCATTCGAAAGCCACCTACATGCTGATGTACCAAAATTGCATATATAACGCGCCAGACAGCGCATACAAAATAAAATATACAAAATTTGTTAATTTAATTATACGAACTGTAATTTGTGGTAGACATCTCTTCTGTACATATTCCACCTACATTTTACATATTATATCGTATGTCAATGACATTCTTATTAATTATTGAAGTATTATAAGAAGCCCGGTGGCGAGGCCGAGAGGGTTGAGGTGTTTGAGCGAGACGTTACCAAAGGAAGCACAAGATGTAGGTAATCGCAATATTTATTAACAGTGAAGCTTTTAGTAGGTACCGTTTTAAATATTTATTACAATTTACAATGATGTGCCACGGATGGTGTTGCGGCCTATACTCGTATGTATTTCAAGTAGAAAACAGAGTGAAAATGTACCAAACGAATAGTACTGCTAATTAAAAGGGTACCTGGTCGGAACGTGAACCTTGGTTTAGTTAACTCGAGAAAAGAGTTTATACGAAATCAAAAAAAAAAAATACCGGGGGTAATATGGTGTAGATGTGAGCAGTGAAGTCGTGAAAATACGGACGGACGGTGCAGGTGTCACGTATATGTGTACAGAAAAAGACAAATCACGGGTTGTTCCGTAACGGTTGACCGTTGCTCCGTACCAGTGTGCGCTATAGACGTGAGAGGACCATCAATAATTTATGGCCTAGCCAGGTCCAACAATTTTTTCCGAGGCCCAGCCCGGCCTAGTCCAAACAATTTTTTGAAAAAAGACTTAATCCCGGCCCAAAAGTCATCTTTGGCTCTTAAAAAGCCCGTTGCGGTCCAAGAATATTTTTTATAAGCACGGTCCGATCCAGTCCAAAATAGTTCATCCACTTCCCTGGTTGGAAATAACTTTATTATACCCAGTCCCACGATTTTCATAATATTCGTGATTACACCAAAGTCCTAGGTACCCACTATGTAGGTATATATGTATAATGGTATAATAGAATGTTATAAGACAAAAATAATAAACACGAAAAGCAGGTGTCCGCAAAATATTATACATGTATACGCTTCAAAATGTTTCCCAACGCAGTTATATGTGTCCATTTTGCTTTGTGCAATGCGCTATGTTACACAGAATCTACCCATAAAAGTAATAAGACAAGATAGGTATTAGACGTTTATAACTCATCTACTAAGACAATCGAAGTATAATTTTAGGATCAACCTAGGTAGGTAATTTAATATCATGTACAGCCAAAATGTAGTGCTTGATCATATTGAAGTCCCGTCCCGCATTACGAGTTCTAAATATTGCACACTTAATTTATTTCTGATAAAGAATACAACTACAAATACATGAGTTTATATGAGGGCTTTTACGTTATAGTCATCAGCATCGGATTTAATAACTATTGCAAAATACTTAGACGAAGGATTTTTTTTATTCTAATCCCCAATATTGTAATAGTTATTTTATCTTAAAAATAAAGTTTCTATTGGCACGCAATAACTGCTATGTTTCTACTAGGACCATTTTTTTTTCACCCTGCATATTAAAATACATAAATTCGACTCCCTTCCCTCAAATGCAACTTACCACCACGGTGAAAATTTGGCACAAGTCGTTTCAGAGTGGTCAGTATATAGGTATCTCGTTCTCGTATCTATACTGCAAAAGGAGAGTCGTGGAGATGAACAACCGAACAGGGGCGGCTGGCAGAACGGAGTCATGATCAGGTCACCATCGGTCAAATTCAAGACGAATTTGTCATTGGTAGATTGCAATTGCCTCAATGCCCACATGGCCGCATAGCATAGAAGCCTATTGTCGACCAGTGAAACGATGAATGCATCTGCAGCTGCTAGTCGAACCATCTGAAACCCGATCGAAATTTACAAATCGTACACCACATGTTATTATATGTAATGACACTTATATTTTCTCAAGCCCCATTTAGTACAAAAAATATAACTAATTAAATATTATTTTTGATTAGATCCGGTGGAAATCAATACCTATACGTAAGTACCAGGAGTCAATCATGATTCATGAGCAAGATTTAAAAAAATTAATTACTATGTTTTAGGGTCTGGGAGTCTTATAGAGAAAACAAATTTTGATTACCTATAATGTAGATTTTAAACAGATAAGAAAAAAATTCTTTTAAGTAAAACTGCTTAGAAACTAAAAATATCTTAGCTAATTCTGCTGGTACCTATGTCATAGCATATTATATTGTTATCATAAATACATAGGAATGGTAAAAAACTAAAAAAAGTATAATACATCGATATTAACGTTCGATATTGGACAAGATGTAAATTGTAAGTCTTTAAAATGTTGTTCTATAATGAAGTCCAATTATTATTAAGTTGTAATAAGTTTTGTTTTTATTTAAAAAATATGTAGGTACTTACGCATTTTTGTATTATTATTTTTAATATTTACTATACTCAACTTTTATGTATGAACACTAATAAAAATACTTTTAAATTGAACACATCTTACAAAGAACATTTCAGAGACTCGAATACGTCTATATATTACATAATATGTTAATATATAATATGTATAATCTGTTACTATTCAATGAGACATATTTAGTTAAAGGTTAATTGTACTTTTAAAAATCTTATTAAATTAATACTTATACTTAACTTTCAAATGTATAATTTTCCATCAATATTGGGCAGGAATGTGATGTATTCCAAATAATGCAAAATTGTAATTTATTATTAATTTGTATGTTGTCTTCTGTTTATAAACAATTTTTTTCTAAAAATCCATCGTATATTTTCATACAATTATTGTATTCGTCACACTTTGCAAAAATGTTTTTAATTTATTCGAAGAAAAATTTACATGACGTAAATACGTTTGTTACTTACAATAACAAATAATTCTAGGTACAATAAAATTACATACTTAGGTACCCAAATAGTTAATTAACTTAGTCAGTATAAGAATTTATGCTATAAAAACGTGTATGAAAACGAAATACTATTACGATAATAACAATTAAAATTAAATAAAACCATTGGAGATTTGAAACTTGTATATATATTTTCATATTTGAACAAAATACCTATGTATTTACTATTTTTTATTTAACTTTCTGTTACTTTGTGATTAAGCAATACTTTTACCATTATTAAATTTCTTTTCATAAAATACTAACGTTAAGCCACGTTAAGCGCCACGTCCAAATGTACTTTACTGTGTGTTGGCGCTTACCACCCATAGTTGATCATTATTACGGGCATCGCCCATTTGCGCAAAATTTACCAACGTAAACATTTTAAATTAACGGCTTGGTTAATTCTTATATTTTAAAAACGTCATGTCTGTAACTTATAGTAAAAATTATGTAAGTATACTATTAACTATTATTAGTTATTTGTTATAAATTATAATAGTTCATAATAATTTACTACCTATAGTTTTTAAAAACAATTTGTATTTATTTTGATTATTGTTTCAAAATAATGTGTATTATACAGCTATTATTGATTATTATTTTAAAAACATTCGTATAATTAACTATGATTTAAATAAATTTGTATAATATAATAAAAAATATATTACTTTATAATAATTATACATTTATACTAAGTAAATTTGGCGCAAATGGGCAATCCGAAAAAAACATACCTTTTTTATTTTGTCGCAAATGGGCTATACCCAAAACGAATTCATTTTTTTGGCGCAAATGGGTAACACCCATTATTACAACGTCAGCCACCATACACGATAATAAATCAATATGAATATTATTTTTAATTTATATTTTTTCTATGGCCCTACAACCTAAGAGGCAAGAGCTACGTGCCTTAAAGGAGTCATGGAGAAGAGGAAATCACGAAACTCATAATTTCGGTCTTTTGGAATTATATTTTTTACAAAAATTAAATCCGCCAGCCGCAGTCGTAAGGACTATAAACATAACGTGACAGTATAGGGACGTCGCTATAATAATAACTACATAGACCACGGTCTTAGAATAATAAACGGAACACAAAAACACAGTTAACTCGAAATTAATTAATTTGAACTTTGAACAATTTTTTACATTGAACACTTGCCTTAAAACGAAAAAAATATGTTAAGCGTATAATTACAGATATTAGTGTCAGTAGAATTAGTAGAAATCGCTTCAAGTTTTATTAATATACCCATATGGCTAGATATATTATAATATGGTATTTTTATTAGGCATCAGCCACAAAACGTTCCAGAATAATATAACAGTAAGCTACTATATTGTCTATGTAGGTTCATTGCCTAGTAGTTATTGTTAAATACCATAGTTTCTCACCGAGACAATCCCGGCCGGCTGAAAACAGATAATTCAATTTGACGTCAAAGGTTTCTTTTAATATTTTTTATTTTTTTCATACATGGAAAGTGAATAAAATAAGTGATGCCACGTTAATATCTAATTACATACTATAAAGACGAGGATTTCAAAAAAATTGGAAGCAGTCTTTAGAGTAATTAGGAGTCCTGATTTAGGACTGATCAGCGATAATATGATATAAAAAATAAGACGATTTAATATTTTACCTAATAGATAAGTGCATTAGTGTTTTCTGTATAGGTATAAAAATATGCAAACCGTACCTAACCGCCTACTTAATTAAAGCGTTTTCAAATGTTTTGAAAACACCTTGTACCTATAGGCCAGCGGTTCCCAACCCATTGGCCGCGGCCCACTTGTGGGCCTCGAGCAGCTTGGTATTGGTCCGTGAACCATATAAATATATAATTTTTAATATTACATATTATAATATTTCTGGTTGTAATATATTTATCAATATTATCTACACTCGGCAGTGTCAGATTGGTGTCAAATTATTAATTAATGCTAAATATAGGAATCAACTGAATGTTGAAAGTGATTTAATTGTAAATCCATTCAATTTTCATCCCGATATTGACTCTTTCATGAAGGACAAGTAATGTCAAAAATCACATTAAATTGTTTAGATTGTGGTTAAGTTTAATAAAGGGTTTTTCATGATAAACGATTGATTTTTTAATTCTTTTTAGTTCTAACAACTGACGTTTGTATATACATATATATTATATATATATATATACGTATTTATACATTCGTATATATAGGTCTATAGGTGAGCTATTTGTGGGCCTCAAAGTTCTTGTTTACAAAATTGGTGGTCTACACAGCTAAAAAGGTTTGGAACCGATGCTATAGGCTATAGTTGTATGCAAAATATCAATTAAAAGATCGCATCAACTGGTTATTATTAAAAATGTTTATGATGGGTCTATAAGAGATGTGAAGAGGACGCCACACTCGCATGTGTTATAAATAGGGCCCGGATTTAAATGCATTTGTAACCATACAGATATGCTCTAAAAAATAGCCAAAAATGCGTTTTACCACAAAATTGACCTTAAAAATGCCCTTAAAAAATATAATTTACCACAAAATGACCTTAAAAATGCCATATATTTTTTTTATACAAATTGTAATTTATAAATGAGACATAATAATTATTTTATTAAAAAAAAACTGAAAATTTGAAATATTGACTGATATGATATTGACACGCATGTTTTGGCCGTTTTAGGGGAAATATTATTCATTCTAAACATAACAAAATATATATTAAAATGTATGTAAAATTAACATTCTAAGTAAGTCTGTTGTAAAGACGTCTCTTCCGAATTCGTTTACGTAGTCACGCAAGCGAGAAGAAGTAGATGATTTTATTTTGGGCATTATTGAACACATTAAAATCACAAGCACACGTAATACGAACAACGACTGCGATGTAACACAAACTGACTGATTATTTGTTATTTGACCGAATACGGGTGACGATCTACAGTCACTAATAAATTAAGATAAGATAAAAACTAAATCGAAAAAAAAAAATGACAATGTGTATGGAAAAATCCGATAAACCTTCTTAAATGTCAAGAAAATAATTTATCTTTAGATAATTTTGTGAATAGTTCAAGGTTTATATTTATTTTGAACAAATATGCATAAAAAACCAACAAAATGACCCAATAATGCTAAAAATGCTCTAAAAAAGAAAAAACGTCGAAATATGCAAAAAAATGCAAAATAAAATTTGTAGCTTTCAAACCTTCGTTACATGGAACGAATTATGTACTTAGAAAGCATTATATATGATCAACCAAAAAAATATGCAATTTGCATTGAAATCCGGGCCCTAGTTATAACCATAGAGTAAGAATGTAGTATGAATATAACACAGCAAAAACTGTTTAGCGTGGGATAGAACCGCTCAGGCTGTAGGCCTGGCCAAGCTAGGCAACCAAACTTTCACACTATATATATAAAGAGGAGAACATTAAATTTACTATGCAACGTCGTTTTATTGAAAAAATTCAAAAATAACAAATTTTTAAACAGTAACAAACTAACAACATGTTTCAAATTTTTGATATCGAAAAAATAAAAACGATGTGGCATAGTTAACGTTCTCCTCATTACAACGTGAACATTTGGTTGCTTAACTTGGACTACACCCTGAGTGGTTCTAGCCTGCGTAAAACAGTGGTCACAGAAGCACTATACTTCACGTCATTACTCTATAACAAACAAATACACAAACAGAGGTTAATACATTTCTAGTAAATCAGAATATGGTTGGACTTTTTTTCCGAAAAATATTTAAATCATAATTCCCCCCCCCCCTTCCTTTCGCAACCAATTAAAACGGAAATGTTCGCTTATAATGCAAATAGGTAGGCGAAAGTACCTACATAATAAATAAATAAATCTGTAACTATTTATATTTACGTTGGTAGTACTTTAGTAGGATAACTTTATTACATTCTAGACACTATTCGAGTTAAGATGTCAGGGTACTGTTTGTTTTCTCTTTCTGGCAAAGCGCAATATAGACAAATTGCATTTCCTAAAAATAAGGTTTTTTTTTACGTATTTGAGTAACCTATTTAAAGTGAAATTGTCAGTTAAAAAAAATTATAGAAAATAATAGATTTTATGAAAGAACATATAAATGTGTCTAAATATTGTCTCAAAACAACTCCATATACTTATAAATTTACAATTTTTATTTTTAATCCCACAAGAAAAAAATATAAAATCGATAATTCAATTTAAAATTACTACCTTTCAATATTTTAGTAGGGGGTGATTTTACTGTAATATTACTCTAAAATCATAGAAAAAAAACGAACAACGTTAATGTTTTATATTTTAAGTTTATATGGATCTGAGAAAATAAATATTGCACTGACAAAACCCGTACTCTGCAGCCGGCAGGCAACACCCGTTTGTCGTCCCCACCGTGTCAGTCAACCATCTGTACACCAGACGTGTAGTAATGCCACG